TTAGATCTAAGTTTATCTTTGTTCTGGGCTAAACATAGCTATTTTGAGGACCTGTAATATTTCATCCATTTGTTTCTTACGCAGTTTTTGCAAGTGCTTGCTTTGTGTCAGAGATGGTGCTGGGTTCTGAGAGATTATGGTGAATGTGCTGGACTTCATCTCTGTCTTCATAGAACCCCCTCTCCATTTGTGATGATCGAGTCTGAAGGTCATCTGTCAGGCTTTTGATGTTTTTCTGCTTTTGCCCAGAGCAAATGTGTAGGATGTTCCCTGAGACATTTCTTGTAGCTGATAAATATTTTTTTGCAGAAGGTATAAGAAAAAGTCATTAAGTTCTTGAGATGGATAACGTTATTGCTGCTTTACACAATGACATATGTTTGGTTGATTCTCTAAGGCCAAAATCTTGGTTTTATGATGCTCTGAGAGTAATTTTTCAACCATGAGGATTTTTAAGGAGAGCTCTGAGCTCCTCCGGTAGGGGCCTGAAACATCAGGGTACAGAAAATTCACCTAGGTCACCAGCTTAACAAGCACATTTCTGGGGTTTATCCCACAGAAATACTAATTCATCAAATCTGGAGATGATAAGGACATTCTGAAATTTTTAAAAAATTTAGATTAGCTTTTAAAGGGTTCAATGCAACATATATAGTGCGAAGAACACAATAACATTCCCTTCATCTCTCTCATTTAAAAGAATGTTAATTAATCCATCTGTTTGAGAGAGAGAGAGAGAATCTTCCATCTTCTGGTTCATTCTGTAAACAGCCCAATATCCTGGGCTGGTCCAGGCCAAAGCCCATGGCCTTGATCTCCATTGGCATCTCTCACATGTTGTTGGGGACCCAGGTACCTAGACCATCCTCTGCTGATCTCCTGAAGAGATCATCAAGGACTTGAGCCAGAAGTGGGGCAGCTGGAACTTGAACCAACTTTCCAGTATGCAAACCCTGGCATTGAAGCCTCAAGCTTAACCTGCTGCTCCACAGCACTGGTCCTCCTTGCATTTTCAGTAATACAGGAGATCGTATGCTGTTCTACCCTGTGAATGCGGGTGTAGACTTCACAGAGCTTTGTCTAGCCCTCTGATTGTGGCTGTGAGAGTTTTTCCAGCAGAAGTCTGCGAAGAATTAGGAGATTTTCATTAGTTTCCAGAAGAGGTTAGTAAAAAATTATCATGATGATATTCACTAGTGGAAGTCAGCACAAGGAAAATGAGCCACAGAACCAATGGCAAGAACTTGTGCAAAAAGTAAGAACTGCAAAGCAGATATAAGTTCTCAGCTTATATCAGAGCATCATTCCCCAAATAGTTGCTTTCCAGAATATCTTAGATGTGAATAGAATACACTTATCAGTGAAATGGTATTCACCAATTCAACAAGTGTGAGAAGCATGAGGCTTACTTTTTCTTATGAAAGTAAATACTGGATTTTAGTCTGTGAATTTGCATCTAGTTTTTTCTCAGCTTATTTGATCATAGAAGTTTTTCAAAGGTTTAAATGCCTTTTACATAGACTCATTCACGGCTGTTAAAGTCTTGCTCTAAAATGGAATTTTAACTTCTTTTTCTTATAACGTGATTGGGTTTTGGGAAATACTTACATTTCCTAAGAACCTTAGCACTAATCCCATAACAAAGCAATAATCCAAATTTAAGATATTTTTACGTCAGTGATTGGCAGCAGGCCGTCTCTAGTTGTCCATACATAAACATGTATGGCCGAGAGTTTTTTGGAGCAAGACTAGGGGTTCTATGGAATTAAATAGATAAATAAGGAAATGCCAGGCCTAGAGGGAAGACTTGGGCTATATGAACCCAGTTAGTTTGTGCAGAGGTAACCTGGAGGAGAGGAGCTGGCACTCCGAACGCTGAGTGAGGGGAAGAGGTTAATTTACTGAAGGAGACGGGAAAGAGCATTTCTGCAGGGAGAGGCCCTTTCCTCTTCTGGTTGCCAGTGAAGAGTCCAAGGGACAGAAGAGGCACCGAAGCAGACAGCAAGCACAAGCTGCGGAGCAATGATTAGAAGACCCGTCCTGGGAGAGGCTGGGGGGAGGAAATAAGTCAAATAAGTTTGGGAAATGCAATTTCATCCTTTGTGTTTCATTTTGCTTTAATTGGCCTTTTATAAAATGAATTTATCGCAGAATTATTTTCTACATAAATTAAGAACCTTCACAAGACCCCTTTGGGAGAACACTGAGCTAATATTGGTAGGAAATAAGGACTACTAATTAATGGGCCTCTACTATAATCATTGCTTCTTTGGGACAAAAATGATTAGATTTAGGACAGACATTATTCTGTCCTCTTTCATTATTAAGTTGTAATGATTCTCAGGATTTAAATGGATTTGTCTTTCAATATTCTTTTTTTTTTTTTTTTTTTAATATGAGATCCTTCTCAATCCAGGTAAAGAAGTTAAGATCTCTTCATACATAATTCCTGACTCCTGTGTAATTTTAAACAAATGCCACTCAGGTCGCAGTATCAACTCAGAAAAGTTAGATTTTAATGCAAAAGGGCTAATGTCAATTTAGAAAGGAAACAAGGTTTAGGTATTTGTAGATTTTTTTTTTTTTGAAGAAATGTTTGTGAAGAGGACTGAATTCCATAGCTCACGTTGGTTGACAGCTTGTTCTTGTCCTACCTGCAGAGGTACCTCCGTGAGAAGCTGTGTCACACCGCTTTAAGCTTGACGCTAACATGTCAAGTTCACAAAGGCATGTGATGAGGTGAAAATTTTTTTTTCACATGGAGTCACCAGATCCTATCTATTTATAATCCATACTCTCAGTATTGTTTCTCCAAAGGATTCAAACATTTTAATTTAAGGAAATTATTACATTTTTCAACTTATAATTAAGCCTCATGATAGTTTATAAATACATTTGGGTGCATCAACATGTTTGTGGAAAATGGAATCAGTGGATTAAGTGCGAGACAGATATTTGGCTTAGTTGGTTATCAGTTGAAACAACTGCGTCTCATATCTGTGTTAGACACCCAGCTCCAGCTCCGGATTCCAGCTTTCTGCCCATGCCCACCTGGGAGGCAACAGAGGATGGCCCGCGTAGTTGGGTTCCTGCCACCCAAACAGGAGACTAGATGTAGTTCCCAATTCTGAACTTTGGATTGGTGCAGCTTTAGCTATTGTGAGCATTTGGGGAATGAGCCAGCAAACAGTAGCTCTCTGCCTCTCTTGTCCTGTCTCTCTCTCCATCTCTGTCTCTCTCATGTATAAATACATACAAATAGATTTTTGAAAAGATTAATGTGTTGGCAATTTTTCTCAAGTTTGTGACTCTAAGAGATCCTCAAAAAGTTACTGAAATGCTTATTATGAAAAGACTACATGGTTTTCACATTTTTTGCAGAAAAATGAAGTTATCTTTTACTTCCATTTCCCTCAGGCCACTGGAAGCACACTATATGCTTTGGAGAAGTGGCATTAGTCCGGGAAGGACTCGTTAAACACTGGAAACAACAGTGAAGGGCACCATTTGGTAACATCAATAATACATAAAACTAACAAATTAAAGTTTTTAAGAATTTGTGCTTAGTAAATTTTGCCCTTCTCCTAAAACATCAGGTGTACTTTTTTATTATAAATGAAATTATAGTGTGACTTAACAAGTAGTTTAAGTTGTACTATCTCTGTGCAATTAACAGATACTACAAAAATCTAGACAAAATTTTTAATTTAAAAATTCTAATGATTTCTTTGTTTGAAAGCTAGTTACAGAAAGAGAGTAGGAAAGACAGACTGTTCTATTGATTCATGCCCCAGGGCTGAGTCAGGCAGGAGACAGATGGCAGGGAGCTTCCTCAGGATCTCACGCGTGGATACAGGGTCCCGAAAACTTGAGCTATCTTCTAGTAATTTCCCGGGACATCAGCAGCAGGTGGATCAGAAGTGGAACAGTCAGGACATGAGTGAGAGACCATATGAGATGCCAGAGTCACAGGTGATGACTTTACCCCCCGCCAATGCATATTCAGAGACAAGTTGTTTTAAAAATGATTTCATGGATTATGGATTATAGTCTCTAGAGTCCACTGGTATTTTAATGTGGTTCTTTTTAATTTTTATTTTAGTTTCATACTTATTTTACAAAGTCATCAGGTTACTACAATGAATTCTCAAAGTTTCTTCAGATCCAGATATTAGTATTTTATACAATTTTCACCTTTGCTTAACCTTTTTTTCTGAAATGAGTATAATTTGCAGACATGTATCTTAAAAAGATTTCTAAAAGTCCATGAAAAAATGAAATGTAAAGGTGATGTAAATTTTCTGTGGTCTTTTTGAAAACCTCTTGAGCTTGTATGTGTATCATCTATAAACAAGAGTCTTCTCTTTGCTGGCCGCAGTACTGCTAACTGAATCAAGAGACTGACAATCACACAATAATAGCCTGCAGTTTCAGACTTCCTTAAGTTTCACCAAATTACCCCAATAATGTCCTTTCTAGCAATATAGAAGTGGATGCTGATCATGTGTTGATTTCAGTTGCCATGTCTTTTTAGGCTCCCTTCAAATGTTTCCTAGTCTTTGTGTCTCCTGACATGGCACTTGAATGGTGCACTGCAGCGTTTTTGTAGATGGGCTCTTGGTTTGGATTTGTCTAATGTTACCTTGAGATTTGATTCAAGTTACGCCAGACTTAAAAAAAAAATTGTAGAAGTTTCAGCTGCGATTTTGTAAAAATAAAATTGTACCGTATAAGATGTGACTTTACAATAACAAATCACATTTCTGTTTAAGACCCTAAGAATCAATCTAATTTAATTGTCATATTTGCATCAAACGGAATACTTATCTCCAGCTTCCCAGAAGAAGAGACTCTCCTAGGAGATGTGATATGTGTTTCTTAATGAACTAATTTGTTTTAATTATGGAGTAGCTTGTTAGTTTTGATGATTTATAGAATCACATCCTTGTATTTATTGAGAAAACAAAATGTACAGCTGTATTGATCTTCTCTCTTTATAGTCACTCCGGAATGCCCACAGAAAGGAAAAAACTTCTGCCTTTCCTTGGATGAACTCAGTTTCTTTGCACAGCTTATAAAATCCCTTTTGCAGCTGGAAAAAAAAGTCCAAGAATTGTTTGAAGAAATGTTTTTATCATTCAAAGTACCCAGGACTACTTCAGGTAATATGCTCTTGTTTAAACTGGTAACTGTGTAAAGCTATAATTTCTGTTTGTTTTCTGCCAGTGTGAATCAATGCCATTACTTGAAAATTCATAATAAAAACTCATTAAGATACACATCATGGGTTACATTTTATCCTCTGTATTTGGAGAATCCTTTAATCCTAACTGACAAAGCATCTGGATAATTGTCATTAACTAAAATCAAATCGAAATGTTTTTCCCCCAGAGAAATAACAATGCAGCTTATGGAAGAGGTTAGCAGACTGGATGATCTAGTGACCCCTCATCTGCCACTAGCACATTGAGTCTCCTCGGGCCTGAGTTTTCTCATCCTCAACATAATCAAACAAGAATTGTTTAATTCTCTATTAATTTCAGAATTAGATGCTTTGGATTCCAATAGGGTTCTAAAAATTAATTGACTTAGTATCTATAAAATACTTAAAAGAGTGACTAGCATATTTTTTTAAATCCATAAATGTGAATTGTCAAAACAGCAAGTATAACTACATAATTTTTAAAAAATTCAATAGTGTTGATAAAAAAAATCACTCTGAAGAAGGCTGTGCCATTTGTGTTGAAACAATAATCCTAACACTGAAGGTCAAGCTCTGAAGCCTGATGGTGCAGGTGCACTCTCTGTTGTCATCTCCGTATTTATAAAGATTTTCATTGTGATCAGAATGGAATGCACAATGATCTCCTTCTCATGAGACCAGATGTCACTGGAAGAAGAAGGAATGTGTACAGAAGCTGCAGCTGCCAAATCAAGTGACCAAGAGTCCGTCAGAAAATCTCAACCACTAAACCTGATTTCTCAGGAAACAATTACATGCAGTTGACTGAGCATGTTCACGTTGGTGTTCTTCTCTTTCCTTTGACTGTATAAATAATGGTAGAAAAGCTGAAGTATTGGAGTTTGGAGATTGTGTTGTATTGAGCATAGTTTACTGGTGTGAATTTGTATTTAATGATAAGTTTCGGGAGCAGTATTATTAAGTAAATTAAGCAGATAACAGTTTATACATTTCTGATGCTAACCAGAAAGGGGATAAATAATAAAAATATCAGACAGAAAATATCAATTTTAATTACAGGCCAGAATGAACAAATAGATTTAACTAAAAGGTAACATAAGACCTACATGACTTCAAAATGGAATTGACTAGGTGGTCAAAGTGATCTGAATAGAGAAACATGACATCCTGATTATTGACGACGCGTTGATGCCTTTAGCAGTTGACATTTGGCATAGTATTCACCTGTCTTGTCTAGCTGAGACTTTGCATCGCACCTTCATATTTCTAGTAGACTTTTTCTGAGTGTGGATCAAGAAACAGAAAGAGATAAAAAAAATTATGCAACCCATTTGAAATCATCTTTCTTCCTCACTAGAACAAGGCCTTAGGAATTTAGGTCAATTCTGAGAACTTTATTCTTAGGACAGTATAAACTAAAAATTAAAATTGTTTTTGGAAAGAGATTGTAAAAATGTAAAATTGAAATGACCAAGAATTGAAGCAAAAACTTGATATATGGATTACAGGAAAATGTAGAAAAGAGAAACGTTGCATCTAGTATTGTAAAGTTGCATTAAGTAACGTAAAGACTTACAAATCAAAATAAATAGAACAAATAAGTAATTATAGTACAATATGTGGTCTTATCCCAAATTTGTCATTGTATAAATAGTAACACAGATAAAAGCAACTTCAACATCACAGTAATAATATTATTCCTAGGTCAATGCATGTGTGGATTATTGAACATGATATGTAGAAGGAATTTTGAAGGATGAGAGTATAAAATGTTTGAGTACTAGAACATTCCCTTGAGATTTATGTATTCTTCATTGTTGAAATTCAAACTTGGCTTTATAACAAAGCCAAGACTGACTTAATCTGACTCAACTTTATATGAATGAGAAGAGTGATCATGAGGAAAATTGTCAAGAAAAAAAATCTTAAATGTTTTATTCGGTGTATCCAAGCTGATCCATTCTTATCAAAATCATTGGTTTCTTAGGAAGTAAAAGAGTCCTTGAAATGGATGATCAAAGAAACCAAATGTCTTTTAGGTTTACCATTGAATATTCTTGATAGCGTTTTACTTAGAAATCTTGTGTGAAATAGATTGGGGGTAAAAAGAGGGAAAAAATTGACTTCATTTCCTTTGTATTTATTTTGATTGGAGCATATTTTGCAAAAAAGGTCTTGGAATGGATTGTGTACCATGTCTGTGTAACCCAAACAGTCTGATGAGAAGGATGGTTTTTTCCCTTGTTGTCCAGACGTTTTAAAAATATCCAGGTGCATGACATCACATAAAGAAAATGTAAAGAAGATTAACCAAATATTTTACTCTTTACTTTGATGTTTACTATTGTAATGTAGACTTAGCCCAATTGCAGTTTTCCTAGTAATTTTGAATGTGGACCAGAGATTTTGTAGAGACACAGAAATATTTTCTAAGAAGATATTTAGTCACGATATTTGTTTGATTTTGTTCAGTCATGATTTGGTGGTTTTCTACTTTTGTCATTTCAGAAAATGATAGGACACTATTTGTGATGGTGTCTTACTTCATTTCTTTTAGGTGATGCTATCTTGGGGAGTGGTCTCGGTTTTGATTTATGGAATATTTGTAATGCTCCTTCAGAATAAAGTTGTTCTTTGGGCAGTTCCTCAGATTTTCCAAAGGTGGCATCTGAGATTTATCTAAACCAGGAGGTTTCTTGGTCCTCATTTTTCTTTAGCCCCAGCAATGACAAAGAACGATGGCTGCTTCAATTGGATGTAAGAAGAACACGTAGGGTTTGTCTCAGAAGAATCAAAGATTTCAGATCTTCTGAAAGATTGTTTGTACTCTTAGGGGGTCTTAAGAGGGGTCAAATGGCTTCTGAGACTTCCTTAGCTAGATGGTTAAGGGATTGTATTAGGGAGGCGTATGTAGTTAAGGTAAAGAGGCTCCTAGGGTTTGTAAAGCTCATTACTCTAGGACTTTCGCTGTTTCTTGGGCAGAGAGGTCGAAGGCTTCCACATTGGAAATTTGCAAGGTGGCCACCTGGGCTTCTCTTGATACTTTTTCATGGTATTATCTCTTGGATGTAGTCTCTTCTACAGATTCAGCTTTTGGTGGGAGGTTGCTTGTGAGCCAGAAAAGAGCAGTGAAGAAAAGAAAGACTTGTAGTTCCCACTTAGAGCTGCCAACAAGGCAAGTTGCTTTGTAGTGCACACAATGGGAACCTATGAAGACCAATTTGGGTGTGAAAGTGGATGTCACAGGGAAGTACTGCCAACCTCTACTCTCTATGAAAGAAAGTGGCAGTGTGGAAACTAACCACAAGAAAAAAAAAATGAACCACAGAGAACTCTGTAGGGAAGGCTGTTGAGCAGCGGGCTTTCTTGTGACCCTCTGCACTCTTCTGAAGTTCCTAATCTAGGCATGCTCTTAAAGAAGCTAGTGTTGATGGCCAGCAAATAACCACGTTTTAAAGTAAGAGCCAGGAATGGACTATCCTGCATATCCAGATATAATAAAGATATATCTTTTATGTAGACTTTAAAAATAGATGAAAAACGACTCCTACAGTGTTCCCAGAGCTCACGAAGTTTTGCATTGCCAACTTTGAAATGGACCATTTTGAATTCCAAGGAAACATAAAAACGCCACAATTCGTTAAAACCACAAGTGTTTTATTAGTGTGAATGTCATGTTACTTTATTAATCATTCGCCAGAATGGCCCCCTTTTCTTTCTTGTACAGCATTATGTTTTGTACAGTACTTTTTAAAATCGTGGAGGGGAGCATTGTATTTTCAAGGTTAGTGTCATTGATGATCATTTCGTTTTCTGTCCTAGCATTGCTCACCGACAAGAAAAGTCTTGAAAATCTTCTCTTTTTTTTTTTTCCTTCCTCATCTTGAAAATAGGCAGATGGTTTGTATAAACATCTGAGCACAAATGTATTTAGTGAATAAACATAATGTATTTGGGAGTGAAATGATAAACACAATATAATTAGCTCTTTTTTGTACAACTTACACCATCGTTATACCAAGGCATATAGGTGTTTGCAGAGACACACCAGGAAAGCCTCTACTTGAAGCTAACCTTCTTTTTCCAGAAGGAATACCTTTTCAATAAACTGCTATTCTGAGCTATTTGCGGAAACACAGGATGACATCAAGAATCCACGTGTCGTTGGTCCATGTCATCAACCACTTGATTTTTGGTATATTTTTCTTCTATAAAAATCGTCATTGAACAGTGTTGTATATGCATATAACACGTTTCTCTTACATTGTTTTCCCTTTCCAGCGCAACTACTTCAATATAGGTCTCTGTGTTAAAGTCACACAAAGTCTCGTCATAGTAGGCAGATGTTCTTTTTTTGTTAATCATTCAGAAAATATAGAAACACCTCATTTTTTTCTGACAGTTGAATAGTTTTCCATTGATTCATGTATCACAATTTAACCAGCTGTTCATAGGTGGACAATTAGGGTTTGTCCCACCTCTTCATTTGTTACTACCAAAAAAAGTCTGAAAAAAATGGTATGGCGAATTCCATTGAACTGTGTGTGCCATGTGTACAACAATATCTAAAGACCAAGATTTTGGAACTTAGCTGCCATGCAAAAAGGCTTGATCACAAAGCGGATGAAAAGATAAGGTGCAGATTAGCAACATGAATTTGCAAACCATGTGTATGATACAGGACTCAACGTCTAAAATATACAAAGAATTCAACATTCAACAAGAAAACCAGCAATTTAATTTTACTGTGTGTAGAAGATTTGAACAGAGACTTTAGCAAAGAGGATATACAAGTGACAAAGAAGCTTTTGAAACGATGCCCAACTCCTGGGCCATTAGGGAGAGGAAAACTAAAGCAGGGTACCCCTGTGTACCAGTTAGGATGACTGCAATTCACAACACTAACCAGGACACATTCTGGCAAGAATGTGGAGAAGGAGGAGTGCTCATTCATTAAGATCGCAAAATGGTACAGCCTCTCGGGAAGACAGCCTGGTGCAGTATCTCACAAAGCTAAGCACAGTCTTACCGAAATTGCACCCTTTCGGTGTTTAAACAAACGAATTGAAAACTTAAGTCTGAAGTCCACACAAAAACCTGCCACGGAGAGTTTATAGCAGTTTGATTCATAGTTGCCAAAACTTGAAAGCAGCTAGGAGGTTCTAGACTAGGTGAGTGGGTAAACAAACTGTGGTACATCGATACAGTGGAATATTATTCATCAACAAAAACAAATGAGGTGTCAAGCCATGAGCAACAACAATAAAAGTGGAGGAAGCTGAAATGCACTTTTCTAAGTAAAGGAGACTCTCTGAAAGACTGTATACCGTATGATTTCACGTACATAATGTGGAAAAGGCAAAACCATAGAGAAAGTAAAAATATCGGTCATTATCCGCCTGACGGATGGGCAGAAGAGGAGTAGTGTGTGACTGACACGGAGGGTCTGTTGTTCTGTGATGCAGTAATGCACATGGCACACGTTTTATAAAACTCGTTCAACTGCACAGTAGTAAGAATGAATAGTATAAACTGAGGACCCGAGTTAATAACAACACCACGTTAGTTTAGCTGTAAAATGTGAATGATTTAGCATTACACATGTGCATCATTTCATGTGTTAGCAGGGAAACCTAAGGATAGAGAGGAAATAGAGTTTTTTTAAGTTCTGTTTTTTTTTCTGTAAATCTCAATATTCTCTTACCAAAATCTAATTTTTAAAAATACGCCCATTTTGACAAATACTGTCAAGTCAATACGTTGTCTCTGTTTTGACTCTCACTGCAGTTTTTCTTACATGAAATTCTTATGTGGCATCTTATCTTTTGTATCCACAAAAGCTTCCCCATATGGATCTTTTGAAAAAAATGTTTCATGTTTTCAAGCATAATATTTTAGAATTTATGGCTGAACGTTTTTATTTCAACAATATAATTTATCCTTATTTATAATGCCATCAACTTTTTAAAAATATTTGTTTATTTGAAAGAGTTATGGAAGGAGACAGTGAAGATATCCCGTTTGCTGGTTCACTCCCCAGTTGGGCGCAGTGGAAGGACTGAGCCAGGCAGAAGCCAGGAGCCTGGAGTTTCATCTGGATCTTCTGGAGAGCAGAAGGAGCACAGACATTTAGACCATCCCCCACGGATTATTCCAGGTCACTAACAGGACGTCGGATTGGAAGTTGAGCAACTGACTCACAGCCTGGCACTCGTTTGAGATGCCTGTATAGCACGCAGGTGGTGGTTTTGCCTGCCATAATGTTGGCTCCACTGACATCACCTGTAAAAATCTAAAACACAGGAAATTGAAAAAGCATTTTAGGTGAAATGAGATGACAGTTGTTTCAGGCTACAACCTTCTCTGTATTGTGAGGGTCTTCAGAAGTAGAATGGGATGATAAAATGCCAGTCCATGGATCCGTAGGATTTATGAATGAGCTTTCCAAGAGGTCTGGGAACCACTCCCCAAGTGTGTCCTTAAATATGTGTGTGTGCTTGCCACATAGTCAAATGTGCATTTTTGTATAGAATGATCTGTCACGTAAGTGAAATTCTCATATCCAAAATGATCAAGAAACATTACTTATCTATTTCAGAAAACAGCTCTGACAAAATTCGTGAAAAAGATGATGTTATGGTCTATGCTGTGGACTCTTTACCTTTAGTACATTGGATGAGACAAAAGAAGCAAACCAACTGCCTATCTATATTCACTCATCTTTCGATTTCATTTTCCACAGAGTTTTTTTTTATAGAGGCCAGAGACAAATGTATACAGAATTCCTAACCAATACTTCATTCTCCAAGTATCTGCAATGGCTAGTGGCCATGACAGGAGCCTGGGATACAGTCCAGGTCTCCCATCAATCTAGCAGGAACCCAGCCACTTGGGTTATCACATCCTGTCTCCCAGAGGCTCCATTGGCAGGAAACTGGAGTCAGGAATTGGAGCCAGAGAGCAAACCCAGGATCTCCCACGTAAGGTGCAAGTGTCATTGCCACCATCTTAACTACTAGGTGAAAAGCCTGCTCCTCTGTGAACTTTTGAAAGTATTCTCTTAAAGCCTCTTTCCATGTTCATTCAACTTGATGAAAACCTATGTGCGTGTTATATTTGGTGAGCATGTATACATAATCTATAAAGTATTATTTTGCCATTATTCCATTTTCATATTTGCAATTTGGGATACATTGAGAGTACAAAGTGTCACTTTCCTTGTTCATTTGATACGTTAATTCTAGGAAGGCAGGATTAACTTCCATTCCCAATTCTGGCTTTCTATTAGTGCACATCCTACAAGGCACCATATCATGACTCCAATACATGGGTTTTTACTGCATGTGGGAGACCTGGGTTGAGTTTCGGGCTCCTGGCTTAGGTCTCACCCAGCCCTGGCTGTTGTGAGCCTTTGGGAATGAAGATGGAAGATCTCTCTCAGCTTTCACACACACACACACACACACACACACACACACACACACACACACACACACGAAAGGAGAGCAATTAAACTATAAGGTGTTTCTTAGCACATTCATACTTTCCTTCTGAGAATCAGAATCTGCTAAGTGAATGAGCCAGCAGTCATTCTGTAGACTTACAAAGCTTTTTTGCACTGTAGATAATGCTGGCAATCCTCTCTGATCTGATTAAGCAATCTGCTTGTCTTCCACTTCTAATAAAATTTCAAAGCCATATGAGGGGAAAAAAATGCCTCCCTTCTTGGAATAAGAAGGAATTAAAATAAACATTTTTAAAAAGGTAAATGCTAGATTATTCATATTGAATCGAGCTCTTATTCATGTAACTTTAATGGAAAATTAAGTGTCTTGGAAATATTTATACATCACACTTGTCCATTTTTTTAACCAATGAAAAGGTTATCTTTTTTAATGATAAAGTACAACGATTTCCATTTTAGAAGTTAGGGGTTATTTCATTTCACTTCCTGTGTTTCTATTTTTTTAATTAATCACTAATATGGTTATTAAGAGTAACTTTTTATTATCTGCTGTGTTATTTATGTATTGGTACTTCCTATGTCCCCTGCTTATTGGTATGTGTATATATACATATATGCTTATATTATGGATAGAACTTTCTGCATCAGTAATTAGAAACTGAACATGTTAATCACAGTATTTTACATGTTTGTTTTCTATTGCTTAGGGCTTCTGGAGAAATCCTATAATGAAGTCTTAACAGGGAAACCGAGAGCAATTGAAAGCAGGGTTCCTTTGGAACAATTGCTTCCATTAGAAGAGGTAAGAGAGGAGAAAAAAATAGTATGTTTTATTCAAATCCAGTATGATCATCCTATGTCTGTAAATCCATTACAATTCACAGTGTTTTGAGGTTTGCTCTTTGGCACCAAATAAATTAATAATGATTCTGCGTGGAAAATTGGCTCATAAGTTACTGAGAAATATTAAATTTAGTAGGCGCACTCGCCTCTTGGCCAACGTCTTCCGTAATCACTGGAAAGTGACAAAATGGAGTTTAGCCAAGAAAGAATCACTGGAACAGACCTGTTTGTTCTGATTTGCCCAGTCTGAGCCTGTAGGTAGTCTAGGTCTAGCGCCACTTTTCTGCTTGGTAGAGAATTACATCTTCCAGGATCCAAGGCCCAAGGTTTTAGCCTGGGTCTCTCACATTGAAGACCCAGATGAGTTTCTGCCTCCTGACTTCGTCCTGAGCCAACTTGAGATGTTACCGGCGTGTGAGGAGTAAAATAACAGATGGAAGGCTCTCTCTCTCTCTCCCTCCTACCCCCCCCCCCATTTTGTTTGAAAGGCAAGTGATAGAAACCAAATGGCCTTAGAACAGATAGATTCTGAGCCAGGTTGAATCTAGGATCCAGGTTATCCATCTTTGTCTTCCACAAGGATTTGGTTGGAAACAGAATAGCCAGGACTGGACCCAACACACTGTTGAAAATATTGTACCATAATTCTGACCCCTCTCTCTATGTCTGTCTCTGTCATTCTGACTTTCACGTAAATAAATAAATCTTTTAAAAAGATACAAAGGACATTGACATTGAATTCAAGGACTGATGAATGTAATACCAAGACAAGACTAGGAGAAGTATTATTGCAGGCTCTGCAATGCAGAAAGATCCAAACTTCAGGAGGAAAAATTCAGTTACACATTCATTGTCGGTATAATGGGAACAAATATTACCTTTTCTGGGCCTGGTGTGGTAGCCTAGCAGCTAAAGTCCTCACATTGCATGCACCAGGATCCCATATGAGCGCTGGTTCTAATACCTGTGGTCCCAGTTCCCATCCAGCTCTCTGCTTGTGGCCTGGGAAAACTGTCAAGGATGGCCCAAAGCCTTGAAACTCTGCACCCGCGTGGGAGACTGGTAGAAGCTCCTGGCTCCTGGTTTTGTATCAACTCAGTTCTGGCCATTGCAGCCACTTAGGGAGTGAATCAGTAGACAGGAGATCTTCCTTTCTGTCTGTCCTCATCTCTGTATATTTACATTTCCAATTTAAAAAAATTATCTTTTCTGCTTTTACAGTCATGTTGTCATACAATTTTAACTCTAGAAAATGCGTCACCTTTACTGCTTTACACAGTATTAAATATATGCTAAATGGAGTATACATTTCAATTGTAAATATACATATAAATTGAACTAATGATCAAAATCTCAGTAATTTTAGACTAAAAGGGGCTATATAAATAATTCAATTCAGCTCTCTTATTTTTCTAATAAAGAGGCTTGAGTCAAGAAAAATAAGTCATTGAGCCATGTGTATGAATCTTAGGTCTTTCTGAATTTCAAGTTGATAATGAGTTACTGTAAACAAAGTTACATTGAAGCAGAGAAGGGTTAATCTGAAGCTTGGGTTCAGTTGACTCTCCATGATTTCAGCACTTTGGAGAACTCTAAAGGGCTTGAGGGAAGTACACATTTATAAACATCTTGCCGTATGAACATAGACCAAAAGGGGGGGGGGGGACAAGACATCAGCCCCGCCTAAACATATAGAATGATGCAGATCATTTTAATTCATCATTGCCTAGAACAAAAATAGTGCAATTTACAACTGAATGGGTGGAGAGACTAAATAAAATTATAGGCAAGTAAAAATTCAGAAAGGTACAGTAATGTTTTCTCTGAGAAACATATTTTTTATTGCTTTTTTTAAATTTTTGGCTTGTCAGAATTTTTGAGTGTGGAAAAGATTGAATGTTAAATGCCGTCTTACATTGCAATACTTGTTAACAATGAACTACAAAAAAAGACTATAAGAATCTAATTTCAACTTTATTAAATGTATTGAATTTAAAGCTGACTTTCTGTGATAAATAGTAAGTGTAGCTTTTGGCTCTTATAAGGGTGGCTTTATTGAACTGTAAGAGATTAAATTTTGGAAAAAGTTTTTTTATTAAATCTGATGGCCTAGAATGATAGTTCGGTATACTGTGATGTATAAAGAGTGTCCATGTTCTTGTATATTGCTTTGCTTAATGGGCAATATTTTTTAGGTTGTAAGAATGGCTTTTACAATATATCAAAGAATCTCTAATATATATATATTCAACATGTTGGATGAAAGTAATAATTTCATATCTGCAACAGTGGACTCATTGGTCGCTCAGTGAAGATTAATATGACGTTATACAAATTGACGTTTCAGGCTACTTTACTGAATTTTGACTGGAGAAGTGCGTTTAAGGAGTTGTCACTTCCCATGGCAGACAGTATAACCTCTGCCATTGAAGACTTTTCAACAAAAATTCTCCAAGAGGAACAGAAGGAGAGGTCTTCAGCTGTGAGCTACACCATGAAGCTTGTAAACATACAGCAAGCTTGGCAAGAGGGCCACGTGTTTCCTCAGGAGGAACAACCAAAGAAAATTGCAAAGGCAAGTATCACATTAAGTCTTTCCAATTGCTGACCAATACACTGGGACTGATTTATTTATTTTTAGCGGAAAATATTTCAAAAGAAACCTGTAGACCACATGGCAGAGCCACTTGACAAATACCTTGGTGCCTAACCCAGTGCCAACCTTGTCCTGTAATGTCCCTGGGGCCGCCGCTGCTCCCGCAAAGGACTTGGAGCTGCCTCTGGTCTGCGGCTCCGTCAGTCTGAGGCAGGCAGCTCCTGTGACTTCATGGTTGAGCTGGAAGAAGCAGTTAGAAAATGGGCTGTTTGGGTTAGTCTTCAAGTAAGTCCAGGAAAAAGGCTTCAGGAGGTTGGCAGTCCTGTCTTGTCTTAGTCTGAGCAATTGAAAAGTCTGTATTCACACATTAGTGAACATTTTGTTTCATTAGCCTCGGTCTTCTATCTTTACATGTGTTTTGAATGTCACAGTATACAGATTTTGAGAACAGGAAGTAGATGAGTAAGAGTTTTTTAGTTGGAGGTCCGGAAGTCCAGAATGAGTTAAAGACACCTACAGTGGGGATATATTTTTCAGAGGGCTTACTGGAAGGGTCTTCCTGCCGCAGCTGTTGCCCTAAGGCTTCAAAACTTTCCCCCAGGGACTGTGTTGACTGGTCTCCTGGGGAGGCAGCTGTCACCCTCCCATTCACTTGTCACTGACAATACCTCCCTACGTAAAAAAACTAGAGGCATCACCGTGAAGCTGCAGACCCCTTACCAAAATGAAAATGTTGTATGAGGTTGTTCCAGAGGCATCTAGATTATTTAAATTAAACTCACACTTACATGTGGTGTTTCCTTAAGGAAAAAAGACTTTCATGGAAATTTAGCAAAAGAAAATTAGGAACAAGTTCAAAAATCATGCAAATATTATTATGAAGGTTGCATGGTTTCTGGGTTCTATTAGTTGCAAATAAAAGGTATTGTCATATAAAGCTGGTTCATGAGTTTTTCATAAGGCCGGTCTGGCAAGCATGAGGTTTGAAGGTTATATATAGAGAAGCATCATTTTGGTATTTCCTCATTTGACATAAAACATTCAACTTTCTGCAACTGAGAAATTGATTATTATAAAGCTTCGTCATTATATTTACCTTTGATGCCAAATTCATTATTTTGGAATTTGGCTCCACTGTACATAAATTACATGGTGCTGTCAGAGTACTAATAACTCAGTGCCACATTTATTTTTTCCTAGTTTTGTTCTGACATCATGGAAAAACTTGACACAATGCTTCCACTGGCTCTGGCATGCAGAGATGATTCTTTTGCGGAAATTAGAGAAAACTTGGTGGAGGGCTGTTATAAAGTGGCAACAGCTGTCCTGGCGAGACTGCGTGAGAGAGGCAAGGAGGTGCCTTCCACAGCACCCCTGAGGAACGTGCTGGCGCTGCTCTCCTCGGCATTGTTCATCCTGCAGCGCCTCACACAGTATGACAGTCTGATGAAAGAAACTACCAAACAGTGAGTGCCACTTAACTGAAGCCAATCGCCGTGCCAATAGGAACATGCAGTCTTGGGGTGTTATGGGAGTACGATGCCAGTGATGGCTTGGAGAATAATTTCGTCATTAGCATGGTCCATTATTTTCATTTGTCTCGACCAAGAGATATCAAAAAGCTGGAGCACAAGATACATTAAACTAGACAGGTAGGTAGTAAGAAAGGTGGTGTCCAGTGGCATGTTCAGAATTAACAGCTTTTCTGAACACTGCTACAGACATGAGAAAATGGAAAAATGGAACCCTTTCATTTAACAAGGCACTTCTCTTGACCATCCGGAGAAGAGAGAATAAACTTGCTTTTGTTTCACATATACGCATTAATGAAATACCCCTCTCTTTGGTTACCAAGCCAGTTAGAAGCTGTCACGGAGAATAAATACATCTTAATTTATTCAAATAATCAATGAAAACTTTGTCATAGACCATCCATAACATTGGAAATGGAAGCAACAAGCAGCCTTCACTACTTGTGCATTAACACTCTAAAAGGAAGATATGTCTTCTGAGGAAACAAGTAATAATAAAAAAAATATGCTTTACATTTCTTTGTAATCATGTGGAGTTCTTCTCCCCTTTGTGCTCTCCAGACACCACAAGGGCCCTGGCAAAGGTAAACACATGGGTGTGCGAACGCAGTGTGAGATCAAGAGTCGGTTATGTATTTTGAGGTTTTTTCCCCCCATTTTATTTGCTAGGTAGCTAGACAGTCAGATAGATATCTTTCATCAACTGATCCTGTCCCCAAATGCCCACAGCAACCTGGACGAGCCTCCCAGGGTGTGTCATAGGCAGGAAAGGGTGCCAGAGGCAGAGTAGACGGACCTCGAACCAGGCATTGTGATGAGGGATGCAGCTGTCCCAAGTGGCTTCTCAACCATTGTGTTGAGCACCCGCCCTGTTCTGTATTCATTATTTTCACCTATGCAGTCCACTAGTTATTTAAGAAAGCAATGTAAATAGTTGAAGATGAACTGACAAGAGGCTTGACCTGACATCAAATGCAATGATATTTCTTGAATTCTCGTAAGTAGTCAGATGTTGTGATTCGTACTTGAATTTATAAACAAAATGTGACAGAAATCACTCTGTTTCTGTGGAATATTGTAAAACAGTTTGCGATAATTGACGTCTGCAAAATTACAATTTTTTTTTAAAGATGAAAAGGGTATAATTGTGGAACATGTGATAGCTTTATACAAGTTGCTTCTGACAACTCAACTGAATGTTGTTCTCTGGTAATAACAATAACCTAATGGCTAAATAATGCAGTGTGCTCTAATAATAGGCTTATCCAAAATACTTTTAGTTTTGAGTGATGTATTGACAATGCAGTTTGTCTCAAGTTGAAGTGCATATTTGTAGAACAGCAGATGTACATTTTCAAAGGCCTTGCAAAACAAAGAACATTTTTTTTTTTTTTGGAAAGTGAATGTGGACTCAGACTTCAACATTGGGAGGAAATGAATGATTGATATCTAATAATCAAAACCATTTGTAGTACTGGAGATCGTTACCTCCTACCGCACAGGCCTTAAATCTCTGTCTCTTTGATCATTCCCTCTGAACAGACCCATATTCCTGGTGCCTGTCCAACGATATCAGGAATTCATCAACACTCTACAGTTTCAGGTTACGGACTACTGCGTCAGAGTTTGTGCTACAAGCATTTTACAGGATGCTGAGAGCCACCACTGGGATGACTACAAAGCTTTTTATGAGGTGTGAAGTTAAGTTTACTCTCCCTCCTTTTTACACAAATATGTTTTACTGCCTACCTGCTTTCTGGCTAATTGGAAACATGAGCTTGGCATTACTAACACACGAAGGCTGTTAGGATAATATTTTTTAAATATTGAATTTGTGCTTGGGAGAAACACTGTTTTCAAAAACCTGAAATAAATTAGACATCAGAACTCTCCTTCTGCTTAAAAGTAAAAATAACTTAATTTGAGTTGCAACATTGCAGTGCTCTGCAAGTCGGAATATAATGGGACGCTGTGAAAACCTGAGAGATAACAGTGCCAAAATGCTGCAGCCTTACATTCCCCCCCCTGCAAAAGGAGCCAGTTCTGAGTCCCCTTGCATTTTTTCCCCTTGTTAGAGATTTCCATCTGTGTTTGATAAATACTTTTTTATTAAGCAGCTTTATTCTTTATACTAATTTTTCCTTCTCATTGTACATGCTTATGAGTGCACTTTAAGACCCATCTGATCATTTATAGCTTACCTATTTTCATTTAGCCCATGTTTTGCAACCCCAAATGTCTACTAAATTGAAGACTTAATGATCCCCAGTGCAAGCAAACCCAGGATCAATTAAAATTATTCATCATCAGACTTCATTAGTTCCCTTCCCCTAAATCCCATTGATTATATGTGGACCACAATAACTGAAGTTCCTTGAAGTTGGTTCTAGGGACAGGGAAAGCATTTACAATAAATTCATAAACTTTTTTTTAAAATAAAATCCCATGGCCATCCTCAGCTTCTTTAGCTTCTTGACGTTTTGTTTGGTTGAAATACAGGACATTTGTTTAGAGGGAGTGCGGTGGTGGCTGGTGGGCCAGACTGGCCAGAGGTCGTCTTAATCACTGCCGAATGCTAAGAAAAAGGGGTGAAGTTTTCTTCAGCAGAGTCCTTCTTGCCACGTACCCGGCACTGAGGCACCTGTAGCCCCACTGATGCCTGGGTTCTGATCATAACAAGTGTTGCCACGACAGAGAGGAACAGCCCAGAAGCAGCTCTTTTGAAGGAATTGGCACTTTTTCTAAGAACATTTCATCTCTGTTTTAGAAGCCCTTCCCAGAGAGGGTTTTTTGTTATTGTTTTTTTTTTTCTGCAAGAGCATCCATGCAGAGTTTTCCAAACCTGACCTACTTCCAACACTTGTGGTCACAGTGAGCAGAAGGAGAGACAGAAAGTGGGACAGTGCAGCTGCTAGCCTGAGATAAGAGTGAGAGCTGGGGTCTTGTCCTTTCCTGGCAGCCTCACAGCTTCCTTATTTGCCTGGAGGTAAACAGAGAGGCTGAAAATGAATCCATCTCATATTTCAAACACTTTCTATGTGTCAGTGCACTAATGAGCACTTTTACAGCATGCTTTCAGTGCAGAACAGGTATCAGCTCACAAAATGTTCAACACTGAGTCGCGATGCTCCCTCTTATGCAAATTAGAAACTAGAATAGCTGTACAGTATAAAGTGTAAGTGGATGCATTGAGAACCTGTTATTGAAGTTACCAAGTATTAAAAAAAAAAAAAACCTAATTACCATGTAACACGCAACTCTTAGATCTTATGACAAGGCTTTAGTATCCAAGACAGAAATAACAAGATGGTTACCCTATGATTACATGGTACTGTAGCTTCCATATACTTACTTGGTCAGTAGTTACAATTTAATTGCACAGTTAGCAGTGGTTATTTATGCTCTGAAAAATAAAGTGATATCACTTTTCTATTTACCAAAAAGGAAAAAAAAAAGCTAAGAGCCTTCTAAAAATAGCACCGATTGTAAGCTGTTTTGACAAGTGGAATACCTGACATGGCTTTGTGCTGCTTACTGCACCCCGCTCTCCTCCTCTCTGCATTATTCCAACTGACTGTTTAAGCAGAGCTGGTCTGGTCTTTGGCAGGCATGCTTTGAGAGGCTAGGATGTGACGTCTGCCCAACTGGAGAAACCAGAGGATGGGAGAGAGGCTTAGTGGAATGGATTGCCATGTGCAGAAAGAGTAAACGAATTTACAAGACATGGAGCCATATTTGCCCATGTTTTGCAACAGCAAATAAGCCCTGAATACATTTTTCTGTTTTCTAAATAGCCAGGTTAAAAGAGTCCAAGCATTTAGTATTTCTCTGATGAGGTGCTGGTCAGATGGCACAGTGGGTTTTCACATTACATCTTTGAAATTAAGCTTTTAGTGTCGTTGACATCTGCTCAATTTTAGGAACTTATGTTTTCCCATAGTCAGAGAATAAAGAATTGTCTGTTCAAAGATAATATTGAGTGGCTTCTATAATAAAGCCCAGCTGCCTGTTTCCTGATATATAATCTAAATAAAAGCTCACATCTGTTTACATTATAGTGGGTCTGCAAAAATAACAGATGTTTACTAGCAGAATACTTTTGAGATGACAACAAATAGAGAAACAGGTCAAAAACTAAATGAATCACATTCAGTTTAATGAAAACCCTTTTGCAGATTGATGCTGTATGCATTTTAAACAGAATGGTTACAGCAAAGACCAGTTTTGGAAATACTTTTAAATAAACATGAAATGTGTATTTTAAAAGAACTTTATAAATTAGTGATTTTTTGTTTGTTTGTTTGTTTACTTTTAGAAGAAATCTATATGCCTTATTTTTATTTTCTCACTTATTCCTAAAAGGTATTTAGGGAATGTTCATTCTGTTCTAAGAGGTCATCCATTGCTATTAGGAAAGTTAGTATAAATCATTTGTACTACTTCTTATATCAACTGATGTCAATTTTGCTTTAACCTACATGTAACCCGAAGAAGTATAAGAGATTCAACCTTTGAAACTAGTTCCATGGTTTAAAATGTATTCTGTACATTACAAAGTATGAAAAACTAATTGTGCTGATTCATCACTAATTTTGTGTTTTTGTTCCTTATAGGAAAATATTTATGTGTTTGAGAGTAGAGAGAGAGAGTGCCCATGTACCGATTCATTCCCTTGACACCATCCTCAGTGTGTAGGCCTGCACCAGGGCTGAAAATGGAAAGCAGGAGCTCAAATCAGGTCTCCTACCTGGGAGGCGAGACCCAGATCACGGCGGCCATCACCGTTTTCTCTCAGGGTCTGCTTTAGCGGAAAGCTGGAGTTAGGATCCCAGACCGGGCACTGAGCCCAACTACTCCAGTGTGTGGGCCCCTTAACCACTGGGCTGTAACACTCACCCCAGATTCTTTGTTTTGTTTTGTTTTCTTAAACAGTTTAGATGTACATTTGTTTAGAAAGTCAAAGGTCAGTGGTTAACGAACCCTCCAGTTGGAAATTGACACTGACATTTTGTGGCCCAAGTTTTCTACCTACACAATAACTCTAACTAATGAATATCATTTGAAAGTATAAGTTATTATTATGAGTGTGACTGCAAGGCAGTTTAGTAATTAAAGAACTACTGGGACAATAATATATAAAAATACTAAAAAGAGCATCTGGGTAAGAAGCTATTAATTTGTAATGTAGGAGAAGAGCAGATTGAAAGAAGATATTTGAGAAAGTCATGCGCAAAGCAGAAATTTTAAGTCAAAGAGAATTAGAGATAAAATGAAAAATTTACTAGTCAAACTTGTGATGTTTTAAGATAATCTGGGTCTTGTTTGAAGAATGCATTCCACTTCCTATTTCAAATCTTTGGATCTGGGCTGAAGAAATTGGGGTAGAGGTACTAACAAACTTCCCCAGGAGCTGTTACTGAATTAATGCATGTAAACCACTGTTGCCTTCTTCTTCCCTTGACTTTGCCCACTGTGGGTCTTCCTCTGGTCTCAGGAAAAAAGGGAAACAATAGAGAAGGGTGGGAAAGCATGGCCGTGTGGTCCCTGGGGAGTAGGAAGCGCCATTCGAGTGTTCAGAAATGATAGTTTGTGCCTAAACTTTACAAAGTCTTGGCACATCAGGCTATCTTAGTAACTTGTTAGTCCAGTGATGTTATCAAAATGCCATTGGTGAAATGAGATCATTTGGGCTTAATGTGATCACCTTCAGTAGTGACTCAAACGCTTGGTTTCATGACTATTGGAAGGGATATAGTGTACACAGGTTTATTTTTACTTCTGTCCTTTCATCATAATCCCTAATCTAAAACATTTGTAAAATGAGTTCCATGAAGGTATAAACCTCAGAAAAGCACACCCATTTGAACCAATTTTCATTGCAGAAGGGCAATTTCCACTAAACTGACTCCTTTATCAGGTACAAATCCAGTTGTTGTTTTTTAAGTGAATTTTCAATCCCAGACCAGGAGTAGGTAAATCAGGGGTTGCTAGGTTAAATTCTTGTGGTCCAGTTTTGCACTTGGCTATCTGGTCTCGTAATTGAAATAAAACATATGTCCCTTTGTCAATAAGGATGTTTTACATCTTGTCAGAAATCTTTCCTGGTCATCTAGTGTGTCAAGCGTTCCAGCTATTTCCTTTCAGCCTGAACTAATTAGGTTCCTAGGAAGCGAGCTGACATCTTGGAAGACATGATCCCATTGTTTAATACATGGTGGTTTTGCCAGGGGGAGAGATGCTCCTTCGCGCTCCAGATGTGGCATTATTTCTGCTGGGCTTTACATCATGACCTCTGGACCATCCTGCCCAACGCGTTAGCCCAGGAGATCCTAGCGGAAGTGCTGGAAAAATCCTTGGCTCTGCTGGCCTCCAGATACGCTCGGGCCTGTCCCAGTTACAAGAGAACCCCCCAGATAAGGTAACCAAAGTTCTGAAAACCATTGCTTTCCAGGGCCACTTTTTCCTCAGTTGGTGGTAAAGCAGCATGGAATTCTGAATCTCTCGACACATATGTCCCTGTGTGGTTCATCCCCGTGTTTCTAGCACCTGGGAGGGAAATCGTACTCAAGTCTCCTGAGGCATTGAAGTGGAAATTGTAAGTGAAATAATGGAAGCTCTTTTTTTTTTCCTTCTAAAAATTGTATGTAGAATGCATTTGTTTGTAAGAAGTGTCCGAGAGCTCTTGTAAGCTCGGACACATCTATGCACAAATGTTAATAAGATTAAGAGGGAAAGTGAAAGCCCTGCAATGGAGATGAGAGCTGTGACAGTCATCAAAGTGTTCATGCCACTGGAGTATTTTATAGATTAGTGGGTGTTTTTGTTTTTTTGTTTGTTTGTTTGTTTTTCTTGTTTTAAGTCTTTGAATACAGTAGTTCATCTTGATGAAGGACACTTTTTGTCTAATCATCTTCTCCCTGAAGTATTCTGATTCCTTCTGTTCTCTTCCTTTTACTTTTTTTTTCTAACTTTTCATGCTGCATAACCCAAAGCCATTTCAACAAAATGTGAAAAACACAGAAATGAGGAGCAGCAGACACAGGGTATTAAGCCAAAGGCTGCAGCATACTACAGTCCTGTGAGTTATCTGGGCAATTAATATTACATCGATGTGCTTACATTACAACAATGATCTGTAAGAAGAGAAGGTTCCTCTTTTATAAATAGTCCGTCTAATGTGATTAAGACATACCTCTTAGCTATTTAAAATTTTTTTCCTTGGCTATATTTTAAGAGGAAACTTCGGACATCCGAGGCTTTCCTATTTCGGGGGCAAGAGGGATCATTTGCTGATCATGCCCTTGTAAAGCGTGCTGCAATTTGAAGGGTGTTTAGGTCCTGCTGCAGTGTTTCATAAGTATGGTATTTTGCACGGGCTGTTTTGAATTACTGACCAAGCTTTCATTTTTGCAAAATTGAACTCCAAAGAATAGATGGAAAATTCCTTTTGAGAGCAAAAAGTGCCTTCATTTTTCTCTTTCTGTAAGCATAAATCATTTTTGACTATGAGGTGCCAAGTCTTCATGAGATATTTATGGAATTAGATTTACTATTCGCTCATGAAATAGGTAGTATATTTAATTAATTAACTGTACTATAGAGACTTTCGGAGTTTCGTTTTTTGAATGGTTGCATAAAAAATGCCATACAAAGCTAGAATTACTACTTGTAGTTTTTAATTCACATTTTTATTTGAATAGTTAATCATAAGCCACTATTATTATAGAGTCACTTGAGTATACAGAGTGTATGTATATATGTATATTTTGAGTTAGCAGTCATTTAGCAATTAGAAGAGATATATGTGTGTATCTATATATAACACATATATCTATAAACTATATATATAACACATATATCTATAAACTATATATATAACACATATATCTATAAACTAAAATCAAACCTCCCTAAGGGTGATTCCTGACACTTTCAGTAGCCTCTAAGTGTCATCTCAATGTAATTTATATTTGTGTAAAATACAGGTTACTTTTAACTTAAATGTATGTGTGTGCATGTATGTTCACACACGGTGACCTTATACTAATCTTAGGGCCCACACAACTTATTTTTCTTCTTATCGCTTCAAACTTTCCATGCTTCATTTGCTCAACTCAATTTGGTAAATAAGAATAAATTAACTGAGGTGTGGTCAGTTCATCACCTAGTCCAATAATCTTTACACAGATCTTTGGGTCCCTAGAAAACAATGACAATAGACAAGTATATAAATAAGATTTATAATACATAATGTTTTCTAAACAGTTACTTAATATTGGAAATTTTGAGAACTTCTCCCGTTGTGCTTTTCATGTCATTGCTTCCCCTGTTCCACTTGCTAGGACAACATGTCCCCAACCAGGCAGCTTTGTTTTAACAGCTTAACACATGGGGGATGAGAACTATTGTTATGAAATTTTTCCCTACCACATTCAGATAGATAGCAGCAACTTACACAAGCCGCTTTTCTTCTAGCTTTTATTGTGTCCAGTGTAACTGTGAGAACAGACTCCCGCTCTGCTTGAACGAAATCCTGGCAATGCAACATTAACTTGTTTTGGTTTTTTTTTTAATTACTCTTAAGACCTTATTCTAGACTTCACCATCCACCTAGGGGATCGCACGGAGAAACACCTGTCACCTGGAGACTCACAGAGGTTTCCTGGAATCTTTTATCATTGCCCTCTGACGCTGTGCTAGCTAATGAAACCTCTGTCAGTTATGACATTTGCTTAGTACAAGAGTGACTGATAAAAACATGTTCTTAACATGTACTTAACATGTTCTTCTTTTGCTTTCCCGCAGACTTGATATCACAACAATTTTAATTTGCACGGAGAACATGTTATGGTCAATTTGTTCATCTGTACAGCAACTTTTGAATCCTCACCAACATAGGGATGATAAAATTTTTAAAATTCATATCCACTGTAATAATCTTCTTACAACGCTAGTCATTTTGACCTCACCCCTAACAGAACTATATAAGTAAGTATTACATACATTTGATCTTTAGCTATTATGATACTGTGATACTGTGATTTGACAAGGTCATTTCCATACTACTTACTGAATTGATTAAAGTAGGAAAGTAAAAATTTTAGAAGTGCTTTTTCAACATTACAGATTGGATCATTCTATAAAGCTTGCCTCAACCAAAGCAATTTAATTCCTCCCAAATGTATTATTCTACATTATTTTACATTGGTCAGTCCCATGAAATTAATAAGTTGCCTACACAATCAGAAACTATTAGGGCCCTGTGCGGTAGCCTAGTGGCTAAAGTCCTCGCCTTACATGCACAGTGATGTCGTATGGGTGCCAGTTCTAATCCCAGCAGCCCCGTTTCCCATCCAGCTCCCTGCTTGTGGGCTGGGAAAGTAGTCGCAAAGACAGCCCAAAGCATTGGAACGGACCCTGCACTCAAATGGGAGACCCAAAAGAAGCTCCAGGCTCCTGGCTTCGGATCTGCTTAGCTCCAACTGTTGCAGCCACTTGGGGACTGAATCAGCACACAGAAGATCTTCCTCTTTCTGTCTCTTCCTCTCTATATATCTGCCTTTCCAATACAAAAAATAAATACATCCTTTTTTTTTTTTTTTAAGAATTAAGAACAATTGGAAAGTCACTATTTCAGCTGTTTAAATGATCAAATTTTATGACTGGCCTGATCATTGCAATCATTGCTTATTGCTCAATGAGAAAAAAAAATCATACCTACTTAATTTTTACCAACATAATTTTCTATAAAAAAAAGGAATTTTAATAAACTGTTCTGGGATATTCCTGATTCTGGAAGAGACGTAGCGTTTCAATACTTTAGGTTAATCTGACACAGAGAAGTGTACGTATCACGTGGCTTCAGTGTCTCAGTTTGTAATGACAAATGAGTATGGAAACGCGCTGATTCCAGGAGAAATGTTGATATAGATTTTACTTGGCTAGACAAATAAGATGTAGATAAATCCAAAGATTTTGAACTGCTTTTGTTTCTGTTTGATTTGATTAAAACCTATGATGTTACACATGAAGTTAGACTAGGTCTTATGATAAAGCATTAATATCACTTTGCTTAAATCCTTTCTCAGAATTTTCATTTTTATCTTGAAAGACTAAATATCTTGGTTGGCAAACGTGTCACAGAATATTTCTGTTTTCTCAGGATCAATTAGGTGGGAGGGTTCTTTCCTCTAATATGTTGGTGATAGTGCTAGACAAATCTTGAATTTCAATAGACTTTGAGACTTTTGTGTTAGGGATTCTAAGAGTAACTAACTGCTGTGTTCTCATTTTTTTCCTCTGATTTTGGCTATCAAGAAGCACATTGTTTCAGACTGGTCCATGAGGTCACCCAAAATGAGGACTCATTTTAGACATGGAGAGTGCGCTCAGAAGGAATAAGCACCAGTGAGATAAATTGCCCTAAGGTTGAGATTATATACATAATGGCTTCCAATCATAAAAAGCTCTAGTCTGAAACCCGTAATAAATCCTAGTAAACTCAACTGATTTACCATAGATGAAAAAATTGCCATGCTCTCCATTGAATGGGTCATTTCACCTAAGAAGAAGGCTCTGTGAAAATCAGGAACAAAGTCGACACATTTCATGGCTTGGTCATGCTGAGCAATATTAAATTTCACGGTTTGTCACAGATGAATTGAAAAATTTTAACCCCGCAATGCATTTGTAAAACAAATAAATTATTATCAAAGATTGCATATTTTAATAGTAATAATGCAACATACATTCATAATTGTTAACCTGTGGCCTTCTGATACATTTTTAAACAAGTACGGAAGTACTCAAATCTCCATGATTTGTGTGTTAGATACTGCACTGTGACCTCATTCAGCAAATTTAAATTGCTAATTTCAACCAGGATTACAGAACATTTTACACCCAGCACTGCCTCTGGTTTTTCTTAATATAAAACATACATGGCTATGTTGTTTTGAATTATGAATAAAGGTGCTGATACACTTTATTCCTTTAAAATATTTCTGTTGAAAAAAAATTGCAAATTTTATCCATTCATGTTGATTTAACTTTGTCATTTTTTTTCCCTAGAAGATAAATCTAATTGTTGAAATGTATTTTGCTTTCTCTTGGCATAGGAAATCTCCAGGGCAGTGTGATTTTCACCAACTAGGGAGGAATATATGTGTTTTTATAAGAACCCTGTTCACTTCCTGAGCTGCTTCTCGTAGCTGTGATGTGAAAATGTTTTATTATTAACATTTTAGAAAAGACTTTGTCTCTGGCTCACATAAAATAACAAACCCACGTTCTTGAAAGAAACGTGACAATCAGGTGTTAATTGCATCCAGTGTTTGTATAAACAATATCTTACATTTGTCACTCCACATGATATGCCTTTGTACAAGTTAGGGTGCCTTATTTCAAGCAGACACTGAGTATGTTTTCCTTTCTGAACTTAACATACTACCACTGACATGCAGCAAAGGAACACATAATTGTTAATTCATTTCAAGAATGAAACCTGTTTGCTAAAATGTGTGTTCTTTTTAAGCTTACCTTTGTAGATTTCTAGTAAAATGTTGCAAACAGAGAACTTTAAGTTTGTCTTCTGGTGGGGGCGGGGTGGCGGGAATACCCCCAGAGATATAAAATATTCACCACATGCTTTCCAAATTGCTTGTTGCTTGTAGTTCTTTGGTAAATAGTTAAATTACCATTCACAGGTACTATATTCATATGCACATTCCACGGACACATTCAGGCAGTGGTTTCATATGTTGAGTTTGACTTGCATAGACTATTACATTTAGATTTTACATAGCAAGTTTAAAAATTAATTGCCTAGTCAATTAAATAGATGAAATTTGGTTTCAATTCAACAAGCATTGTTGCTATTCTAGATTCTATGATTAAGCTTAGAGGATACAGCAATAAGCTGTAATATCTGGTCTCAAGTAATTTAAGTCTGGTAAAAATTAGCTCCCCCATACACACACATATATAAATTTATTTTTAAAAAGTCTTTAAAGTAGAAACTTTTTGAAAGCTGACTCTCGCCAACATTAAGTTCATTATACAGTGAGGTTCCAGTGAAAGTGCCAATACACCAAGCAAAGAGTAAGGGCGGTTGGTTCTGATCTCATCTGGAGGGTCTGCCCATAAGGGTTCTGGATCATGACATTGCAACATGTTCCAATGCTGTGCCCAAGGCTCTGTTCCAAACTGACTAATTTTAGGTCTTAATAGGATTTTTGTCTCAGCTCAACTGATTTTTTTTCCAGCTATTTCACTGTACTTCAGAAAACAGAATATGTTGGACTGAAAGTGAGTTTTTAAAACCTTCAGAATGGCAGACACACATTGGACAGTAGTTACTCAGTTTCTCAAAATGTTGAGGATGGAGTAGACTTTATGTAAAATTTTGGCTGTATCATCTTCAGATATAGCGATGAAAACGTATGTTCACATAATAATTTATATAGAAATTTTCTTAGCAGCATTTTTATAATGGCAGAAAGTGAATGGGTAAACAAAATGTGACCTGTGTGTGTATAACAGAAAATTATCTAGCACTAAGCATGAATATTAATACATGTTGCAAGAAAGGAGACTGCAAAGTATTCAGCTGCATGTATAAGAAAATAGGAAAAAGTGGGCTGGTGTGGTGACTCAACAGGCTAACCCTCTGCCTTCTTTTGCTGGCATCCCATACGGGCACTGACTCATGTCCTTAGATATGCCTGTCACCAGGCAGTGGTTTTTTTGTGAGAGGGAAAAGGGCGGCGAAGGCTTGAACTTTACTCAGATTGCCCATTCCCCCCCCCCTAAAAAAACGAAAAGCCATATTGCAATATAACTTGGGCATGTGATTAAATGTATTACCTCTTTAATCTGTGGACATTTATTTGTTTTCTATGGTGCCTTTAAGTTTTACTACCCCCTCCAACTTTTATGTCTCATGGAAAAATATAATGCTGTGGTGCCTACGACTGTACTTTACTCTCCACTATGAATTATTTAGAGCATCCTCTCTTTTTAACTGTATACCAAAACATCATTAGAGGCTATCTAATAGCTAGCTCATAATTTCATTCCCCCATTGAGGCTTGTGGACCAATTTTCACCCTGTTATACTCTCCAGAATAATGAAACTAATTTGGGATCTTGCTGTGGAATTAAATGCTCATATAGATCCCATCTCCTCTGAGACCATTAACATCTGCCATTCCTCTCTTGAAGCCAAATAGCCTTCCTCTTAGCAGTCCAGCTGGGAAGCGATCATCAGTGGAGTGGAGGAGTTTGGATTACTGGTAGAAATGTTCTAGTAAATACTACATTGCCAGTGGATTTGCACTCCAAAAATTTTTTCACACTGAATGACCATCCTAGTATTACTAGAGCCTTCATAACTTTTTTTCCAGTGTTGAGCATAAGCCTGTATCCAGACAACCACTCAGGGAATTTCATGTCATTTTTGGCACAGCCATAGATAGTCTTAAGAACTGTTTGCACCTGTTATCACATTGATGTCTGTCTTTTGTTGAGCCCTTATCCCATATGAGACACTTGGTAAACCCTGTAGATGCATTGCCTCACATTATCCTCACACTGATTCTGCAAGGTAATTGTTGTTGCTAATCTGCATTTTACAAATGAGAAAGCTGGGGCTAAGTAAATTTCCAAGTGACATTACGCATCTAATAAAAAGCACACCCAGGATAGAATGACATATCCAGGCTCCTGCAGGGGCCTACACAGTGCCTCTGAATAACTTTTAGTGACCTGACCCTTGGGATTTGGAAACATAAATGCATTAGAGGTACAGTTATTCTGTAGGGTAACACAAAACAAGATAAAGGAGTAGAAAAATAGTGAGAGCAGTCGATGGAGCTGGCTGAACTTGACAGAATGGGCATTCCAAGGCAGGTATTGAGTTTGGGAGAAATGAGGCAGGCCCTCGTGTAACTAGACATATGGGTATACAGAACCTCCTGACACATAGATGGGAATCTAGGTTTGGGCTTTTACACAAAGCCTGTGCCTTCCTTTGAGTCCATGTTCCTTTCTAGACTCCTTGCTGCTTCTCTCCTGCCTCGCCGTACCAGCGTGCGCTCCTCTTCCTAGTTCTGTTTGCTGCTGTGTGCTCGTCCACTGTACCCTCTCTCTTTTTGCCTTTCTATACACACTTCAGTCCATCCCTGTGAGTGGCAGGGACCGAATCATTTGCACCATCACCAGCTGACTCCTAGGGTACGCATTAGCAGGAAGCTGGAATGGAAAAGCAAGTACTGGGAATCCAACGTGAGATACAAGCACCCCGAGGGGTGCCTTAATCATTGCGCTATACACCTGCTTCCCTTAACTTCCCCTTTCTGTGTATCCCCTTACTAACTCCAACTCTATGTCGTTAGGAAAAAGATAATGCTACTACTATTATTGTAACTTTTTCCCTACTTATTATCTCCTCTGTTCCTCACCTGGATTTAGGCTCTTAACATCTAGTGATTGGTCTCCTGCACTATCATCATGATTACATTTCCAGGCTTAATCATCTCTAGTTTACTGGTTTCAGTGCTGTTCACGTGATTTCTCTCACAGGCAAAACCGCCAGTGTCAGTTTCATGCTATAAGCCCTTCAGTGATTCTTCATTGCTTGGACAAAGTTCACACTGTAGAAAAACATATCCTAACCCCCAACCTGACTTCTTAAGAGCTACGCCTCTTACACAGTGGAAGGCTTGGGATGGAAATGGAAGCTTATTTAACAACTTTACTGTGATCAGAAATTTAATGGAAATATGGTTTTCAAGGAAAATATGACATATTAAAAGTAAAGACAAAAACCTCCATGAATATTTACTTAGAAGATTTAGAAGTCAGTCAGACACGCAGGGAGGAGAAGAGGTAAATTTGGACAATGCCAAAATACAAAAAGTAAGAAGTGGAGTGAAAAGACAGGGATGGGTTTTCAAAATGCGATTCAATTCTACTTAACATTTAGTATGAAAACCTTCTATTGCTGCTGTGTTATATGTAAAGAGAGATGGTAACATTTCAATTTCCATTTCCAAGTATTCCTAGTCCTCATTCATAATCCTGTGTATTCAAATGTATATCAACCTGTATAAGAATTTTATGCAACAAGTCCTCATGTCAAAATTTATACCTGAATTAAAGCCAACCTAAAAATAATAAGTCAGTCATTTGCAAAAGATGATTGTAGACCGGATATGCTAGCTGAATCTTTCTAATTTTGAAATTACACTCATGCATTTTGCAATTACATTTTTGTTTCCAACCCCTCTCTAGGCCCTTGCAACCATATATTAATTGTAAATTTGCATTACCTATTCGGCTATTTATAAATAACTTCAGAGATGAAAAGAAAGACTTTTATGCTAACATTTATGTTAATTAAGCAAATATGGCAAGACACTGACATTAGATCCAGGTTGAAGAGGATCCAATGGGTTGTAATAATACAACTTCTTATAAGAAACATAAGTGCCATTCATTGCACTATTCTTTATGCATTTATTTGTGACAAATTTCATGATGCCTGGATTCTTTTTAAATTAAATGATAATGCTATTGGTTCACATTCCCCAAGTATATAGACTGTTAGATGATAGTTCATAAAGTTCCTAAGTCCCAAGCCTTGATGCTCATGGCTTTCCAGACTTCCCATCGGATCCCTGAGTCAGCTGGTTACACAGATCCCAAGCACACAGAGTGCTTTATGGCCCTCTTGGCACAGTACCATTTTGTGTAAACGTCATTAACTAATGCTGAGTAAAAATTACATTGTGTTTCAGTCATCTTTGTATTTTCTGTTTGCTCTGAAATAATTGTTTGTGTCTCCTTAGGACGTTTCGGGATGGCATGGATGAGTCGGCTTCTGATTCCTTAAACTCATTTTTTAAGCAACCATTACATTGGGTTTCTTGCCTTTCATTCTTCTACCCTTCTTTACTCAGGTGAGTTCCTTCTTAATGCTGTACTGTCTAAAATCCTGTAATTGTTTTTACAGTTTAGTAGAAACTTTTACTCATGGATACAAATGCATGTAGGAACTTAACAGTTTTTTACCATCAGGCAGTCAGAAAACGTGGTTTTCTCTCATTTTCTAGCTCGGGATCTCAAGGGCCCATAAGAATTTCGCTGACTCACAGGTTTAATAACAGAATGAAAAATGAAATTTTTTTGCTCTTTTTAAGCTAATTGCTTAGCACTTTTTTTTTAAGATTTATTTATCTTTATTGCCAAGTCAGATATATAGAAAGAGAAGAGACAGAGAGGAAGATCCTCCATCCGGTGATTTACCCCCAAGTGACTTGTTCTGTGTCGCAATTTGAGAACTCTCCCACATGGTAACAGGCCTTGGGACCCAGTATGCAGGTGGGAGACCTGGAAGAGGCTCCATGCTCCTGGCTTCGGATCGGCGCAGCTTGGGCTGTTAGGGTCACTTGGGGAGTGAATCAGCAGATGGAAGATCTTCCTCTCTGTCTCTCCTCCTCTCTGTATACCTGATTTTCCAATAAAAATAAACAACTTTTTTTTTAAAAAAAAAAAACCCTCTTTCTTTATTTATGACCAAATATTTTGTCATTTCTCTAGCTAATTATTAGATGTAAATGACAAATCTGGGTTATGTATGAAAGTAACTCAGCCTGAGACAGAAGGAGAGAGAGGGGTGGCTTGTGCGATTGTGATTCAGAGCTTACATTTTCATTTACGTCTCTTTAAGTTAAAGAAGAAAATTGTTTAAATTATGAAATCGACTTCCAGGGTTATCAGATGACATTTGTAGTATTATGCAGAATGTCAGTTTGATTCATCGTGAAATATATCATTGTAAAATAGCCTTCTTTGATATCTAAAGTTGTGATGTCAAGCATAGCTGTAGGAGTTGCTGTTGCCTCTCAGAAAGACACTATCAGTGATTTCACCATCTAAGTTAACCGATTTTCTCTCGCGAGGGAGGAACAAGAGTTCCACCCATCAGTAGAGATTGTGAAAATCGTATACCCCTCAAACCTTTGCTTATACAACAGACATCTACTGCTTGCCTCCTGTGTGGTGGTCCCTGCTTTAGTGCTACTGGAGAATCCTGCACCCAACCTTTGGCTGATTTTTAGACAATGGAATCATCCAAAATGAAAGAGTTCATTTGCCACAATGAGGAAATAAAAGCAAGTCCTTAGCTGTAGACTGGATGCTTACCCTGTAAGCTGTGTCCCAGGGATTGGAGATACAAGCAACCTGAACAAATGAGACCATGGAAGAACATCAGTCTGCCTTAGTGCACAGATGCTAAAGCATCAAGGCTGATTTCTGCTTATTGAATTATGTTAATTAGAAATGCCATGACAAAGTACACCCATTAAATAGTTGAAATATATGCAAACACATTTAGTGATGTAACTACATATTATTTACACGTGTTTGGCTAAAATGTTAAAAGATCTTTGCATCATTTTTTTCCAGTCCTGAGATTATCTCCGTAGAGAAAGATAACAAAACTCCTTTAAACAATTGCTTTACCTGTTTTCCTAGATAAGTTTTATAGGATGGTTGATGGATGCCTAAGGGTAGGCAATAATATGGAGACCTATTTCTCACTCCCACACCCGCGCCATTATGGCATTTCCCCTCATCTTTTTAGCCATGTCCTTCCTTTTGTTCTCTGAATCACACAACTTTTGCTCTGTAATTCATGCAAGAAATCATGTAGTTGAAATCAGTCCTTACATACCTGCTATAACTTTACAATTAGTGAAATCCTAAATTGTCCCCTGATAGAAGTGTCCACATCACCTTCCAGCATGCGAACCAAGTCCTGTAGGAAGCCATGGGGATAGAAAAATACAAATTTCCAAGAAGATTCTTGGGCGTTTCTCCTCCTTTCATCCATTGGTTCCTAAACCCATGTAGTTGGGGTCACTGTACCATGCAGTAACTGTAAGCAATTAAAAATGATCAAACCTTGAAAGTCAGGGCCCTAATAGAACTGAGCAACATCCCTAAACTGTGCATTCCAGTCAGATTCCCATATCATATTGTTCTGGCAACTTCTGTGTGACATGCATATGATAGATCAGAGAGTCCCAAGGTCCGTGGCTGAGCAGTAAGACTGTTCAGATGTCAGCCTGAGTCTACAGCAGAACATTTTCTTTGAATGGACTTTACTTCATCAAGTTCAAGTTGGAATACGATGCCCTGATGCAACTGAGGTTTAACTTTTTGCTGCAATATGGACACGTACCAAAACATTTACAACAATCCTAAGTGATCTACTTGGCAAATTTGCACAAAGTAAACATACAAGAGTACAGCCAAGATTTTTCACAATGACTCTACAAACATTTGGATAGATTTATAAACCAGTAATGATTGAATTTTGTTTTTATTTGCAGTTGAAAAAAAATCATTTTTTAAGTTTTGATTTATTTCTATTATTCAAAATCAGAGAGAGGGAGAGAGAACTCACTCCCATTTGTTGGTTCATCCCTGAAATGCTTGCAGCAGCCAGGGCTGGACCAGGCTAAAGCCAGTAGGTCGAAATTTGATCGTGGTTTCCCACATTGATGACAGGGACTAAGTTCTTGGACCATCATTACTGCCTCTGGGGGTTCACGTTAGGAAATTATAATTGGGACTGGAGCTGCCATTCAAATCCAGCCACTCTGGTTTGGGCTGCAGATGTCACAAGCAAAGTCTTTAGTCACCGTTGCAATCAATGTCTGCCCCAGATTAAAAAAAAAAAAGTTTTTGTTTCGGCAATTGATGACACAGAAGCGTAACACTTATTAGAGTAGAAACCGAATACAATCCAGCCTCAACTTCCTCCCAATACAAGATCTGTGAGTTCTACTGGATTCATGGATTTTCTATTCTTTGTATCATAGTGGAATTCAACATGTACATATTTGGTGTGTGTATATATATATATATAATTTCCCTTTCTGTCATTTTTTGTGAGACTAATCTCACTTTTGCAGCTCTGGCAGCTCAGAAGCTGAAGGAACATATGCTTTACCATATGCTCCACACAGACCCCTCAGTGGATTTCTCCCGCAGAGCTCAGGGATTCAGGAATGTTTGCACTATTTTATTTTTCCTCATCGTGAGGCACTCCACTGTACATTTCAAAATCTGTGATAAGTTGAAAGATCCAAGAATTGAGGTACGTTTCAACAAACAGCATCCCATCTGGGCAAATGAGAGATTTTATTTATAACCAGGTATTCAGACACAGGGGTATGAAATGACATTTGAGTCGTTTTGTTTTATTACATGACTGAGGGGCCGACGGAAACACTAACCACCTACATTCTATTCCCCCACAGAGCAGGCAGATTGGGAAAAACCCTCTCTGCCTTAAACTCTTCTGTGGTGCCAAAACCCCCACCACAAGATAACAAGGTCCCTCGGGATCTTGATCTCACAGACCACCTGTCTTTCTCCAGTCCCCTGGATCCTTCAGTTAAATGTGTCCCTTAATTAGTGCTCATTACAAACATAATATGTGGGTAGGAAACATTCAAAAAAGCAAGGCAGTTTGAACACATGTCTCACCACCAGCTAGCTGCTTCTCACTTTCTGAACCCCAAAGGAAACTTCTAGAAGTCAGCACCTGGGGTTTAGGGTGGAAGTAGGGATGGCCATATAAGGCAAGAATCAGCTTCCAGTTTTTAGTCCAGAGGGCTCACCTATGTGTTCTTCGGGTGCCACAACGCTTTGGACCCCCTGCAAATGGCAGGCTACATGGGGGAGGTAATTCAGTGTTTCCCAAAAGCTCAGAGCAGACAGGCTTGATTCCTCCAGCCCTGGAGGTAAGAAACGTCCCTCTTTCTTCACCAGTTACATGAGCTAATACTCCCCTGATGTATATGAAAGAACTCCCTCTGTTTTGAGATACGTCATCAGAGTTTTGCATGTAAGTCTGAGATGGTTCCACTTCCAAGTACAAGGTGAAAAATTCTGTGTGTGATAAAGTTATGTGATGTTCCAAATGCCCTTCCAAACCTCGGGAGGTGCTTTAAAACTTTTTTTTTTTCTTTGTCTGCCAGTCATTCCACTTTTTCTTATAATAAGTGATTTGCCAAACCGTCCGTTTTAATTTTATTTTTATTTGCTTAAGAAATAAAGAGGAAAAGAGTGATGGTTGACAGCTCTTGATCTTGTGATCCACACACCAGTGTCTACCACGGCAAGGGCAGGGCCAAGGAGTGCCATCTGGGTCTCCCATTTGGGTACAGTAGCCCACTACTTGACCTCTGCCTCCCAGGACCTGCACTGATGGGAAGCTGGAGTCAGGAACCTGAGCTGGGACCTGAATCCAGACACTGGTAGGGAATGATGTGGGTATCTCAAACTGGAGGCTGCATACCCACTCTACATCATCTTTTTTTTTTCACCCAAATCTTTACCTATCCTTTTATGAGAAAGAAAACATCGGATGACATTTATAGAGCCTTTAGATGTGCTTGGTTCACTGATATTATCCGTGGTATATAAAACAAATGCTTTCATCAGACTTTTACCTGGGTGGAGAGATAAAAACTTTGTGATAATAAAGTTCTAAAATGTGTATATTTTTCATAAATGCTTTAATTTAATATGAGGCAGATCACTATCTAGAGCAATTTGTAATGAAGAGTTCATGGAAGAAGTAAAAGTATTTTCTATAAATTCAAGGTATACAAAGGTCAATGCATGAAGTGCGTATTCTGGCTGCTGTAACAAATCTGCCTTATATGGGTGGCATAAACACGCGTTTACTTGTCATAGTTGTGGATGCAGCAAATCTAAGATGAGGTTCAAACAAAATCTGGTTCCTCTGAGGGCTTTTCCTCCAGCTAGTTTTTGGGATCTTCATAATGGAAAGGGCAAACTAGCTCCCTGACCCCTTAGAAGGACACAGATTTCATTCTTGGAGAGTCCGCATCTCTGGATGCAATCCTGTTCGAGTTAAGGTTTCCACCATATGGATCTGCAGTGAGTACGAGCACATTCAGTCCTTTACCAAGGCAGTCCGGTTGGCCCGATAGCCGGACAAAGGCACAGGAGTAGGAAAGATGATGGTGGTAGCCAGTGCTGCTCCAGAAAGCACTGCGTACGACAGTCACTCACAATCTACTGGAGAGGATTTGGTGGGAAATGCACAGGGTATAGGCAGCTGGCCTACTTTTTCTTAAGAGTCCTATGTCCCGTATGGGATACCCAGATTTGACTGATTCCGGCTCCAGCTTGGACCTTAGCTCTCTAACAATGCAGATCCTCAGAAGCAGCAGCAGTGACACAGGTAATTGACCTGTCGCACAAGTGGAAGATCTTCATGAAGCTCCTGCCTCTTGGCTGCAGCCCTGGCCTGGCCCTAAACACTGGGGCAACTGGAGAATAGACCAGCTGTGTGTGTGTGTGTTGAAACAATCACACTAATTTAGGTACCCATGGCTAGATTTCTGGTGGAATCAAGCACAGACTTTGCATTTGAATAAGTTCTCAGGTCTGATGTTGGTCTGGGGCCCAAGCTCTGGAATCTGCCAGTGCTAACAGCATTGATAAATTATTGATTTACAAGCTCAGAAAGCTTGTGACTATCCACCACTGATAATGCTGTGAATTGTCTGTCTCAGTGATACCGTTTGCTTTGTACTTCTTTGCACACTAAAGCCTGTGACATCCATTCACACCTCTGAATCACATCTTTCTTTCCCAAATACCACCCTGTTCCCTTAGTTGTCATGGCTGCTACCCAGTGCAGTGTAGTTTGACTTTTTGCCTTGTTACTGTTGAAACCTAAATTCCCACATTTTGACCTTTAGCCAACATAAATGTTGAGAGGCGAAGAGTGATACTCCTGGGTTCTAATTTCTGTGTATGTGGTGATGTGGGGGACCTGATTTTGATTTTCTGTTCACCACTGATGATAACAGGACAAGTAAATGCTTATTGGTTTGGGAATTATTTCTCCTTGATGAAATGATTAGCCAAGTAAGTAGCATTGTGACTGTTGGCAGCAGTTGTGATAATTGTGTGTTGGTTTAAGGCTTTACATGTTAAGTAATTAGATTACATTTGACCCTTGACAGGGCTTTGAATTCCTTTAGTGTTATCAGCAATCATGGTACAGAACAAACTACAAAGTAGCCAAAATCTGCTGGAAAATTCTTTGCATGAGAATGAAGGGAAGTAATAGCACTTAGTAGGAATTCATTATGTATTTGATGGATGAACAAATAAATACATTCAAAATAAATGCATAAATAATTTCTCCTCTCTCCATGAAACAAAAACAGACACAGTTCCATGAAATATAGGCATGGTTATTTTGTATCCGCTTTAAATTTGGCAGGCTCCCAAATGTTAATTTGCTTTTAGCTAGTTGAGATTAAATGTAATTCCTTCCCTGAGCAACCCTAAAGTAAGCAAGCATGAAAGCATTTTCAGAGTAATCTGGGAGGAATTGACATTTAAAGGAGTTAGCATTACATCTGTACTTTAAGGCTATTAATTTCCTAGATAAATTAACTTCATTACCCCATCTTTATCTTGCATTTTGAAAGGACTCCATCAGCTGGAGGCCTGGAAACCGAGGGTCAATTGAGACTGCTCTTATCCCAGCCAGGCTGTAATTGGAACCTGCTCCTGGAAACGCTGCTGCAGTGTGATGGTCTCTTACCGAGGATCCTGCTCAAGGGCTCAAGTGAGTATCGGGATTTCTCATAATGTCCTCAGAGAACCCGGTGTGCTCAAGGTGAATGAAGATGTTTTTCCTAGTCAAGTTATTAGTAGAAAGATGTAAACCAGCTGCCAACATTAATAGTCTAAGGTTTCACAACAGTCATGATATTGATTGGCTTGACTAACCTGTTTAAAATAACGTTTTCGAAGACTTTGAATAAGGCAAAATCATACATATACATGTATATGAGTGTGTATATATATGTATAATCTACAGTATATTGGCTATGAATATTATGGATATGTAGATGTATAAAATCTCAAAGGAAGAGACTAATTCATTCCCCAAATGACTGCAGTTTTTGAAGCTGGGCCGTGGGCACCTAGGAATTCAATTCAAGTTTTCTAGTCAGTGGGAACTCAACTCAGGTCTCCCATGCAATGACCAGGGCTGTGCTAGGGAGTTAGGAACTTAGTCCATGAACCCAACAATATATACTGCCTTGGTAAGGAGCTGGAGTCAGCAGTGAAACTGGAACTCTAACCCACGAACTCTAATATTAGATACGGACATTCCAGGGCTATCTTAAACTGTACCAAAGACTTGCTTCTGAAAAACAGTATCTTTGTATGACATTATTCTAGCATCACTACAATTCTCTAGAAATGTATCAGTAAGAAAATTTTAGGAACACTGTGATATTTCTAGAGAACAAGTCTGAATCTCTTTCTCTCTGTCTCTCTCACACACACACACACATTACATAGGAGCAACCCTAGACATTTTTAGCATATCCTGAAAACTGCTTATGTAGCTTAAAAACAAGCAAACTGTGGTTTACAGTCACATCTATTGGGGCATAGAGAAATACTGAGAAAATTACAAATGAAGATTGAGAAGCAATAGAATACCACTTTTGTCTTAACTGTGCGTTCTGGTTTTCCCTATACATGCTACTTTGCAAAAAGGTTAATCATGTTATGCTAATGTGATCTCATATCCTATCACTCTCCTCCTTCTAAGAAAAAACTTTCAACCATTTTCACATATCCCTCTGCATTTTTGCTGTTGTACACCACAGATGAATACAGGTTAACCTCATCAATCGCTAGTTTCAGTGTAGGTTTTTTAACCAAGATCTTTTTTTCCTCTAGATTCCTAACACTTTGAAGACCAAATCCAAGTCTTTTAGCTCTTACATGTGATCCCAGACTTTTGTGACATTTTTTCCCACTATTCCCTTGGACACATCTTCCTACTCACTCCTAATCCCACTTATAGTCCTCAACGTCACATGTGTGTGTTCCCTCCACACCATGGCCCATGCATTTGTCATATTTGGCATTAATCAGTCTAGTAGTATCTGTTGATGTTGTATGTCTTTTTTATTTTATGAAGATTTACTTACTACCTCAAAAGGCAGGATTACAGAGAGATGTCCCATCAGGTGGTTCACTCCCCAAATAACCATAACAGCCTAGGCTGAACCAAACCCAAGACAGGAATCCAGAACTCACTCCAGGTCTCCCGCTTCGTTTGAAGGGTGAGAATCACTTGGAACATTTTCTGCTGCTTTACCAGATATATTATCAGGGAGCTGGGTTGGAAGTTGAACAGCCAGGTCTCCTGCTGGTGCTCCCATGGGATGCAAGAGGTGTAGACCTCTTGATCAGGACACTACAGCACTAGATGCTATGCTCAGTGTTTCAGATCTTTGCACACTCTCTGCACACCGATTTCTTCCTCCCTGGAACTTCACAACCTCTATTATCTATTCACGCTTAGCAACATGGGCGCTTCAAACAGCTTGAGGAAAAAAGAATTATAAGTCTACTTTGGTGCAAAAGCCTATGCGATGCTCTTTCATATGTGTTTTTCATTAAGTTTTTGAAGATCCATAGTGTGCCTGATTTCAAACTATTTTGCTCCAAAGTAAACTTATGTTTAAATTCCTAGGCCATGAACTTCTGGAAATGTCTTGTTATTATATTTGTATGTGAATGGGACAAATGTCACCAGGTCCTACCAGCCTGTTGGTATGAAAATGAAATCCATGGCCCTCCCTTGTACAGATCCCGCTAGTATTGCTGATAATTTGTGATTATCAGATCTAGTCCCCCTGCCCCCATGTTGTTCTCACCCATCCATCTTGACATTTGCTTCCTAAAAACCGCTTGGAAGAGGTACCACTTGTCAGAATTTTTTTTTTCTCCATTGCAGCTCTCAAAAAAAAATCACAAAACTATATGATGCCAGAGGTTTCCAGGACTCCTGGAGCTCACTGCGCTCCATGCAGAGGTGCATTCATGACCCGCTTGTCCGAGCCCTGAATGTGATTCTATTCCTAACGTCCTAAGCAGCTCTGGTCCAGCCGCACATTCCACAAAGATCACCTGAAAGCCATCTCTTTTAGCTTCACGCTGTCATTGCCTCTCCTTGGGATAAGCTAACAAAAGCAACATTTCTGTTTACTCATCAGGCATCAGGTGCTAGGCTAAGCATGCCATGTTTATTGGCTAATTGGATTCTTTGGATAACTTTATAAAACATGCCATTTCTCTTCTCAAGTTGAAAGGAATGTTGGAGCAAAAATGAATATTGCTTGCCCAGATATACACAAAGCTGATGCAGAGGGGCTGGGACAGAGGGGTAGGCCTCGCTCAGTTCTGAACCCAGCCAGAGCTTTCTATCCCTTCCCTTCTATTGCAAACACTCATGCAAGTGAAATCCTGGAGAGGAAGGTGCATGTCCTAAAGACAGGTTATCTGCCAAGCCTGGGATTGGATCAACCCTGATGCACATGAATTTTAAACTTGCCTTCCCAGCCATGTCATCAGGGCCCTTTGTAGATTGTCAGATTCCTCCTCAAGCAAGCACACCTCCTTTTACAGAGAGCCCAGTAAGCAGTACTTAGCCAGTAGTGGTCACTTGGAATTTAAAACACAGAGCTTCCTTTATGCTCCATAATCTTTCAGATATGGTGGTTACAAGACCTGGATGATATCTGATACCACTGGGAGACATTCTCTGATAAAAATCATTGAAATTCTATTGTTCTATTGGTTGAATTTTGTAGAACACTCTGGAAAATCAATTAAGATCAAATCTTTTTACTACACTGATACCGCCACTAAGTACAGGAAGAATAAGTATACTAAATGTATTTAACCATGTTTTCTTATAAATGTATCCTGTATTTACTTACCAAAAATATTACATCTACCTTGGAATGTGGATAATGGGTTGTTTTATATAAGAGACTTATAGTTACCAAAGGTGCTGTGAATGTATGTTTCATCATGATTTTTTTCTAATTCATTTATTTTTATTGAAAAAGCAGATCAGATTTGCAAAGAGGGGGAGCTACAGAGAGAAAGATCTTCCTTCCTCTGATCCACTCCCCTAGTGACCACAATAACTGATGCTGAGCTGATCTGAAGTTAGTAGCCTGGGGTTTCTGCCGGGTCTCTCACACAGGTGCAGGCTCCTACAGCTTTGGGCAGTCCCTGACTGCTGTGATTCTTAAGAACATTCGCCGAAGCTTCTCAAGCACTCATCACCTGTTGGATTGTGTGGCTGCTCTGGCATGATGTTGCACTGAATTTTACTAGTTACTTAAAGTACTGTAAAGATGAGCTGACAGGATTTGCTAATCAATTAATTGGCCAATTTATTAAGCTCCAATAGAACTCTTATCATTTTCAGGTTAGAAATAATCTACTTATGCTTATATTAACTATATTGAAGTAGAAATTATTATGCCTATCAAAACTATAGTATTTTTATGTAAATTTTAATTGAATTAAACATTTTACAGTATTTCTGAATTCTGAGGTCTGAATACACTACTGAATTCTGTTAAGTACACTTTTTCTTCATGAACAGCTGTGTAATTACTATAAAGACGAAAATTATCTCACAGCGTTAGTGGTACCTGGAAACCTGCAGCTTTTGGTTTTGATTTGAGAAAATTACTTCTCACAATTTCTATTTGCTTTTCTTTTGTTTGCAGATACATTTTTTATTTATTTGAAATGCACAGTGCAAGAGAGAAAGAGATCTATCTACTGGTCATTCCCTAAATGATCACAATGGCCAGGACTGGTCTAGGCCAAAGCCAGGCAACAGGAACGCCATCTTGGTCTGACACGTGATTAGCAGGGTCCACAGTGCTTGGGCCCTGGCCTGCTGATTTCTCAGGTACATTAGCAAAGAGCTGCATCAGTAGCAGAGCTACAGAATTAAAAAGGACTGCTCGCTGCCCATTTGTCTTCTGGCTGCCCCACCCTCAACCCAAGCTCCCTGCTAATGTACCTGGAAAAGTAGCGGAGGATGACCTAAGTGTTTGGGCCCTGACACCCACTTGGGAGACATGGAAGAAACTCCTTATTAGTTATTTAAAACAGAGTTCTGATTCTTACGATATTATTATGCTCAGTTAATTCCCACAATGTGGTTCTTTACCGTGAGCTGAAAACACCAGACACAACATGGTATCTTAGGAGGTTTATTCCAGCCGGGAAGGAATAGGATGGATGTCGTGGGAGATCAGCGGGAAAGAAGGAAGGAAAGGGAAACCGGAAGGAGAAGAGAGAGAGAGCCACACCCGGGGGCCTTTTTGTCATTCAGGTGAGCCTGCAAGGTGTGGGGCGGGGGATTGGGAGGGATTGTGGACTGGCGTGAATTTTGTGAGCTGTGAGGAAGAGGAAATGGCTCTGGGTCCAGGGTGGGTTATTCCAATAACTTCTTACACTCCTGACCCCTGCCTAGGCTGACCGTTTCCCAGCTCTTTTCAACCATTTGCCTTTCAAGCAAATAAACTAAATAGTAAAAACAAAGACTATTGCCTGATGTCTCAAGTGGCAGTTCAACCTGTGAAACCACAATCGTTTAAGAGACGCAGCAGAGCCTATACGGAAAGGACAGTGTTTAATATGAGGGGCAGCTTCACTGAGGATCAGAAAATACCCAAAGTAAAAAAACAAATGACAGAATCTTTATATGTAATATATGCTGTAGGCCAAGGTATTCTAGGAAATGGAGTTGTATTTTTGCCCTGGATAACAACTCCTCCTGTAGGAAAATATGTTACCTCTTGAGAGATGATTATATTGCTAACAGTAGCAGCAGCACGCTAGCAAACAGATAATATAATATTTAATATGCTATAGAGAGTTATAAATGCTTTAAATATGTTTATGAGATCCATATAACATCTCTGTGACAGTACATCCCCCAATAACAAATGAGGAAAGCGAGACAGAGAAATCCACACATGTAAGTAGCAAAGTGGAGTTGAATCCGGCAGCTACATTCCCAAGTCTGTACTTCCACCTACCCCATCCGTGTCCCCGCAGTGTTCACCACACAGCAGTGTTGCACAATCCAGGAATGCTGTTAGGAACCTAAGAAAAGATCATTTCAGTACTATATTTTTTATACTTCTTTTTACTTTGTAACAAAATATGTAAAGTTAATCAAGAAGCAAATTTAGAGATAATTCTACCTAAATGGCTGCTACTGCCGAGCGATGGTTGACTTGACAGGCGAACTCACTTCAAATGCCGTTGTCTTACATTTTCCTGTTCTCTTAGGCAGTGAACAGAAACTTTGGCGTTTTGTTGTGCTTAGGGAGTGTATGTATATGTATTCCATTTTACATGTATGACCAAAGTGCTTTTTCTATCACTGTCTTGAGGGAGATTACATAAAATAAAAATGTACTCCTTCTAGGTGTTGTTAGTCCACCTAGCACTGACGGCGTTTCCTAGGCTGTTTTTACCAGTAACAACATCTGCGTTACAGGATGCTGTTGAATCTTCTTAGTATTGTTCATTTGATTTTACTATTTTTATTAGGAACAGTAAAATACATTTTGTTTTTACCTTTGTCCTTTCCAAATAGGTTCTTACCCAAGAAAGGTAGTGGTCTAGTCCGGAGGTATTAGGGGCTCCATTGGGGTATTCCTGTTCCAGAAATGGCAGCATCTAGAGTCCTCTGAAATCTTCTGGAGGTTGGGGTGCTGCTGCTGGTAGTAGGGTATGCTTACAGAAAACAGGACCTTTGGTCATGGAAGTACAAACTCCAAAACTGATGACATAATTAAAACTGCAGATTCTGATTCCAGAGGGCTTGGGTGGAGCCTGAGCTTACATATTTGTAGTCAGTTTGCAGGTGGGGCTGCTCCAGGTGCTACTGTCCCCATTAGCAACATTTTGAGCAGCAAGGATATTGAATCAAGTATTTGTTGCTATAGATGGCCAATGAATTTGAAGATGTGGCTTGTCCTTATAACATAGTATAATCTTATAAAGAGGCAGTTTAAGGCCTGGTGCAGTGGCTCAATGGCTAAACAGCTAACTCCTTATCTTGCAAGCACTAGGATCCCATATGGGTTCCATTTATTGTGCAGGCTGCTTCACTTCCCATCCAGCTCCCTGCTTGTGGCCTGTGAAGGCAGTCAAGGATGGCCCAAAGTCTTGTGACCCTGCACCCACATGGGAGACCCAGAAGAAGCTCCTGGCTCCTGGCTTGAGAGCAGTTCATCACTTTTGTGGCCAACTGAGGAGTGAATGGAAAGTCTTTCCGTCTCTTCTTCTCTCTGTAAATCTGATCTTATTTTGCAACCCAGGATCATATGTACTCTGGTGTGAGGTTGCACCATAAGTTTGTATATTTTACACTATCAATCTTTTGCAGAAGTGGCTAGAAGAAAGGGACAATTTCTCCACCACTCTCCCATACGCTCTGGAAGAGTGTTTCTGTCGAGAACATTCCTCCTCTTCTATCGGGCAACTCTGAATCATCTTCCAGCTGCAGTGTCATTTCTAGGAAATCATCACTGGTTATTTATCTAGGGAAGGTCCCCCATACTTCTTCTAATTGCAACTTTAACTGAAATGCTAGTTGGTATAATTTTGAGTTTAATGTCTGCCTCAGCTTCTCATTGATTTCTCATTGGTTGTTAGCTATTCTCCTCACCAGAATTGTGCTTAAAACAAATCACTTCCACCAATTTCTCAGGTCTTCCCTTTCTTGGAACTCTTCCCCTGATGCTGTGACAGAGGTTTCTATCTTTTATAAATTTGGGGGATGGCTGGCACCATGGCACAAATGCTAATTCTCAGCCTGTGATGCCTGCATCTCATATGGGTGCCAGTGGGTGCCTGGTCTAGTTCCCTGATAATGGCCTGGAAAAGCAGAAGAGGGTGAACTAAATACTTAGGCTCCTGCACCCGTGGGAGAGGCCAAGGAGAAGCTGCTGACGCCCAGCTTTGAACCAGCCCACCTCTGGCCATACCTGCCATTTGGGGAGTGAACCAGTGGATGGAAGATCTCTCTTCTTCCCTACCTCCTCAATCTGCTCCTCCCTCTCTCTCACCGTAATTCTGACTTTCAAGTAAAATAAGTAAATCTTAATTTTAAAAAATATCTAAATCTTGCTTTGCTCACTGAAATTGTCCACATGAAGATTTGTGTGAGAAAATAACTGAGGTTGTTGTATCCTTTGTGTTGCTTTCCATTTTAACAGTGTCAGCTCAAAGAACCTGCTGAAAAAGAATGTATTGGGTAGCCAACGGCCGGTCCGATTTGTATAACAATTCTCTTTAATTCATCCTCTCAACTTGAGTTTTCTTATTTCTAAATGTGGGTGTAATGCGGATCCTCTGCATTTTTTTTTTTAGCTTTATAAGGATAAATAGACATAAAACACCTAGTACCTTTGTAGATATTTTATTTCTGTTAATTTTTCTACTTGCTCATGCTAAGTACCCGGGAAAATATGCCTGATAGTTGGAACACAGAAGCAGATCCATTCCAAGGCTGTCTAGATTATATTATTGAGATCGTCAAAACAAAAAAGTTGAGATATACAGGTTGTTGTTCTTAATTGGATAAATACTTTGAGCAAAATATGAATCATGCTTATTATCCAAACAAAGAGAAATCATTGTTTTCCCTTTCAGTCTAGCCTACAGATAAGTAGTACAGAAACTCCTAGATGGGATTTTTGAGGGAAGCAGTAATTGAGCCAAAGTAGGGTTGAAAATGGCAATTAAAATAGTTAAATTCCTTAAATAATTTTATTAAGGGGTTAATTGATTAACCTCTTCATTCTAAAATGACAGAATCTGTTGCTGTAACATAAGTATGTACGAGACTATTAGCATACTCCCGAGTTTTACTGCAAATGTGAATTTTCCCGTAGGACAATTTTTAGTTTTTTATTGTCTGGATTTTTTTTCCCAATTTACAGAATTAATGAGTGTATGCTTTTTAAATGAGAAAGAGTCCTTCTCCCCCTCACCAAACAAAAAAGTTCACCTTCAGATAAAGTATACTAACATCCAGGGAAAATAGTATTGTACTTTGATGTCTTCATGACTCCTCTTGGGTTTTTTTTTTTTTTGTCCCCAGCATAAATATCCAAGAGGATCTCAGAAACAATATTGGGTTAGATGAGCCATGGATCTGAAAGAATGTGGTATTTCTCTTGCTATGTAAATATTAATCAAATATGTTATCACAGCATGATGCTAGGAGAAGTGATAAGAATTTAATCACATTCACACAAACCTGCCTTACTAAATCACTTTTATTCCTTTTAAGAACAAGTTTCTGACACGGAAAATCACCTGCAAGGATCCAGCTTGGTGGAAGCCATCTTTAAAGTCCTGTACCACTGCAATTTTTCTCCACAAACATTTGGAAATGTCTTTGTGAGCTACATGGAAGAACACCAGTTATGGGAGTTTTTACATAACATTCCAGGTATGAGAAATTGCGAGTGTTTTATAGACACGGATGCCTTTAAAGATGCCTTGAGTTTTATTGGTGTCGGTTTTGCTGAATCTGTTGTTTCTCACAGTTTACCTTACATTTTCTCTGTATAAAAGGTTCCTGTAGGGAATCATAAACTGTTAGGTTCTGTCCAATGAATACATTTTGGAAAAGGATGAAGGAGAGATTGAGGAAAGAGTCATATATTACATATTTTCTGTTCTTTAATGATTAGGAAGTATCCTACAATACAGTGTTTATGCAGGATGTTTTGTTATTGAGCATACAAGACATTAATTGTATGTGAAAACTCTTTCATGCGTTTATTCAACAAACTGATGGACAATACTACTAGTGAACTTTCTTTAACTTTTTCAAGCATTTATGTGAAGATGGGTATGGTGTTTCTCTGTGTAAGGCAGTTATGTCCTGTGGTTTCTTTGGGAATAATGCATTTTCTCATCTGTTGCATTCTATTGCCTTCAACTGAAGAAACTTGGGGTGCCAGTTTAGATCATGCATCTGTGTTACAGTGCCTGGGTGCTCGTCCGACTCGTTGCTCGTTCTAGCTTCCTGAGATCAGAAGTGGAGCTGCCAGGACACGAACCAGTGACCATATAGGATCCTCGTACTTGCAGGCAGAAGCAACTGTGCCAGCCCCTAAGCTTTTTTATATACTGCTTTGGTATCAGCACTTTTGCAAAAATATTTCCTGATTTTCTTATAAGAGATATACTGGACTCATAATGATGGTTTCACTGCTCTTGGACTTTTTGACTATCCTCCAGATATTACTTGCAAATCATTTTAGCTATTTTAAAGTCATTATGTTTCATCTGCTCTCGTTCATTATCCCCAAAAAACAGCAATAGATAACTTTATGTAATAATTTCAAAGATCTGAATCTATCACTTAAAGATTCTGTCATAATTATCTCCTTTTAAAGTTTTATTTTCTACTTTTAATGCCATCCCTCACTGCTTCTTGTTTACCCAAAGGAGCGACCAAATGTCTAGGTAAAAATAAAGAAGCTTGTTGTGCTTCTGGTTTAGTCTTTAGGGGACTGAAAGGATGATAACCTTGAGAGCCTTGCCACGCTCGGCTGTTTTCAGTTTGTTTCTGTGGATGAAAGAGCTGGATTCTCTCGAAGGATTACAGAGTGTCAGTGGCCTCATGCTGCAGCCACTGTTGATGCAGCAATTACCCAGCTCATGATCCACTTCTGATACTCATCCCAGAGCCACCCGGAAAACACCCCTCACTGTGTCCGTAGATCTCAGATGCTGACAAGACAAAGCAAAGCTGTCCTTTGCTCCTGATTGGTCTCCTCTTCTGCTGCACATGAGGCACCCTCCCCAGCGAGCTCAGGACAGTCCCTGGAAACAAGTCTTGCCTGGTATTCAAAGAGCCTGGATTGTGTAGCAGCCTGAAAGTTACTGGGCTTCAAATGGCCAGAAGGCCGTTTTGTATCAGTTCTTGCTCTCTTACCACGAATAATCCCTGAATCTTGAACAGTCCCTGGAACCCGGGACATGCCATGGTCAGGAAAGTCTCATCTTTGTTTTAGCTCTGCCATTTAAGCTTTTTAGAGAAGTAGCAATGATTATTATTTTAAAGAAAAACAAAGCAAAAAACCCTAAGAAGATATTGTAGTGTAGTAATGCATGACAAAAATCAAGCTTTTCTTTGAGTTCTATTTACCTTGAAAACATTTAACGTGTACCAGCTGACATAGTTATCATCCCCCAGTATTAGCATTTTGCCACTGATAGATCTATCAGTAAATGTAATTAACCTGCGTCCATCAACTGCCACACATTATTTAAAACCTTCACTGGTATATGAGTATTTTCTTGCTGCTGAAAAACTGTTCATGATTGCAGCATAACTTACCCAGAAAACATCACAGTCTGGGGGAAAGGAAGAGGTGCGTTGTGGCACAGTGGGTTAAACCCTACTTGGGATGCTACATCTTATATTGGAGTGCCTGGGATGGAGTTCCATTTCTGCTTCCAAGCCAACAGCCCCGTTAATGTGCACCCTGGTGGCAGAAGGTGATGGCTAAGGTACTTGTGTCCCTGCCGCTCATCTGGTATACCTGGATGAAGTTCCTGGCTTCTGTGTGACTCATTCCTGGTTGTTATGGGCATCTTGGAGAGTGAACCAGCAGATGGAAGATACTTACAATCCTCTCCTTCTCAGACAGCAGAACTACACACACACACAAAAAGCAATATGGTGAAAAGACTTATATGGACATTTCAAAGTACATGTAGCCAACTTCAAAGTAGATCGAGCACTTTCTCAGTTGGGCAAATGAAAAAGGCATGAATTATTACCGCTGCCCTTTAAGACAATGCCCAGGTTTGTGAATGAGAAAAAAATATTGCCAATATGGTCTGTAAGACATTATAGTAACATACCCAACAAATGTTCTTCATGTGGATTAACAAGGTTGGCTTTGCTTGTGCTTTCTAAATCATTTTTTCTTCACTCTGTCAGCTTTTGGAAAAGAAGCTTTTAATGACCTCGCAAAATTCTCCAATTAAACTTTGAGATGCAAAGCTCCCACTAGCTTCTCTGCCCACCCCGCCCCCCATCCCACTCCACCTATGCTGTGTTGTTTTCATGTTGCTAAAATTAGTTTACAGTGTTTGACCTTCAAACAGTTTACACAGATTTTTCCCTTTGACCCACATATGCTCCTGCTAATAGAATGGGCAGAGTCTAAACATAAGATATCAACAGTGGGAAGATGATCTTCTGAATATTTTCCTTAGCCATGCACCCAGTCTTTATAATCTTGACTTAGATTATATTATTATCTCAATAATAATTTATTGAGATATGGGCAGTATTGTATATCAAGTTAAGATGCTGCTTAGGCTGCCTGGCTCCAAGTTTCTATCCTGCTTCTTATGCAGCTTCCTACTGATGCACTCTTTAGGAGATAGCAGGTGACAGCTCAAGTACTTGGGATCCTGCCACCTGCATAGGAGTCCTGCATGGAGTTTCAGGTTCCTGGGTTTCAGCCTGGAGCATTTCATGGGTGAGCCAGCAGATGGAGGATCTCTCTTTCTCTGCCTTTCAAAATAAGAAAGCTACATTTTAAAAATTAATAATGTATTATAATTTTCACAACATAAAATTCACTCTTTATTAGTGAAGAGTTAAATAAGCTTGACCAATAAGTTTGGCAGCCATCACAATAAACCATGGAACATTTTCATCATTTCCTATGATTCTTTCATCTTCTTTTCAGTGAATTCTCCCTCCACTGCCAGCCTCAGAAGACATTAACATACATTACATCATGTTGGGTTACTTTGGACCATTCTAGAATCCCATGTCAATAGAAAGTTGTGTATTATTTTGTTCCTGGCTTCTTTGTGTCATTGCTTTCCGCCAAATTGTTTATGGTATAGCATATTTTTTCGACTTGGGGTTGTTGAAGTGTTTTGTTTTGTTTTGTTAGGGATATGTAGTTTTCATGAAATGTGAGAAGTTTTCAGCCATTCTCTGTTGGAATAGCTTGTTTTTTTTTTTTTTTACCAGGCCTACTCCACTCTCCTCAGCCCTTCATTTTGGTGATCCTGAATACATGTACATGGACCTCTTACACTGTCTTGCAGGCCACTGAGGCTGTATTCTTTCTTATTTTGGGTTTTAATGTTTGTTTGCTTTTAGCCTCCTTTGGATATTTTTGCACACATTTTCAAGTTCAATAAGCCTTCTTTCTATGGAGTCTTTCCCAAATGTTTTTAAATTCTAACGATTCTATTTAGATCACTTTATATTTGTATGCCATCTCTTGTTTTAAAAATTGTATATAAATACTTCATGTTTGTTTTAAATCCTTGGTTGCTTGTTCCATCACTTCTGTATTTTAAGGTATATTTGTATTGACTTATTCTTTGTCTAGTTATGGAAGCCTTCTTTTTGCCTGTCCAGTAATTTTTATTGAATGCTAGCTGTTATGAATATTGCATTTTTTGGGTGCCTAGATTTTGTGGAGGTTTTTTATGGTACGGATTTTTTTTTTTTAAGATTTATTTTTATTATTTTTTCATTGGAAAGGCAGATATACAGAGAGGAGAGACAGAGAGGAAGATCTTCCGTCCGATGATTCACTCCCCAAGTGAGCGCAACGGGCCGATACTATGCCGGTCCGAAGCCAGGAGCCTCCTCCGGGTCTCCCACGCGGGTGCAGGTTCCCAAAGCTTTGGGCCGTCCTCGACTGCTTTCCCGGGCCACAGGCAGGGAGCTGGAAGGGAAGCGGGGCTGCCGGGATTAGAACCGGTGCCCATATGGGATCCCGGGGCGTGCAAGGCGAGGACCTTTAACCACTTGCGCCACCGCGCCGGGCCCATATGGTACGGATTTTGTTTACAATAACGTTTGTGTCACTTTTGAATCACCTGATGATTTTTAGGACTATTGTTAAGCTTTATTATCGCAGAACTAGAATATTATTTATTCTAGGCCTTGTTTAGCCCATTTGCCAAAACATGGTATTTTGGAGTACCCATTGAATGTTTTGGTTAAGCAGTGCATCTCCCAGTTCTGGGATGAACTCAAGCATGAGCCAGTCTCATCAGAGCTCTGATAGTTGCTGTTTGTCTGATTTCCTGGAGTAAACTCTGCCATGGCCAGCTTAACGCTGTGTGACACTCCAAGTGCGCCCTGTGCAGCTTTCAGGAGCTCTGTTTTTGGTTGCTCCATCCTTTATGGCACTTTTCCCAGAAAACTCCAGCTGTCTCCTCCAATCTCTGTCTCTTTACCTCAGCTAGATTTCCATGCTTGCCTGACTTTCTCCTTCCGGAACTACAATCTGAAAGTCCCTTGAAGTAAAAAACAGCTGGCTGTCAGATTTACCAATTTTGTTTCTTTTCTAGTATCTGAAAATCGTTGATTCGTATATTTTCTTCCTATATTTTCTAGCTTTTATATTAGGAAAGTAAATCTGGAACCGGTTACTTCATCATTGCTAAAGCGTATATTTCTTTTCCAGTGTTGTGATCGTTTTCAACAATAACATGATCACCTCAAGTGGAAATGCCATCAGAAAAATAGTCTAGTTAAGTGTCGGCTAGCAACGTTGAGTCGGTGGTGGAGCGCTTGTCTGATGGTGGTTCCCTGAGATTGGGTCTGTGTGGCTCAATGATGTCTTAACTGAATGTCTAAAGCCATTCTCTGGTGCTCACACAGTGGTTACATTCCCGAAGAGCATACTTCTCACAGTATATTTCTATAACTAAACGCATGCCTCATTGGAACTACTTTATCAAGTGAAAACACAGATTTCCTAAATAACAGCTCTAAACCTGAAAGGCTTATTACTGTGCTGTCTGAGTGTACTTCAGAATATTCATGGAGAATGCAATTAAACGAGAAGCTTACTTTGGTGCAAAATATTGTCAAACCTGTGCATGTTTAATGTATATCATGAAAAAACTGTGCATAGATTTCTGAAACTTTGCACTGAAATCAAGTTACCTTTTAATTGCATTTTCCATTGAACTTTATGAAGGACTGTCATATTCTGGCTGTTTATTATCTCATCTTTGGGGCACCAATGTAGTTCTATCACTCATCGGAAACTGATTTGGGAATGATTTATTGTATAACTACTTTCAAAAGTGACCTAACATTCATTATTAAATTTGATTTGCTAATTAACAAACTTAACTTAGCCAGTCTCAGTTACGTTCTACAGTGATTCCTTGAAAGAAAGAAACAAGTGACAAGAAAACAAACTGGTGTCAGAGATGTATTTCCGTCGGAGGCCTAGGTTCCTCTTTTTCTGAATGCATCATTTTTTCCATGTAGCAGTCCTCTATTTTTCATTGTACAATGAAAAACGTTTCGCATTGGGTTCTAATCCCTTCATTTCCGTCTTCTTCCTCTAATTCTACCTTCAGCATAAGGCACTCTGACTGCACAAAAACTCGATTGTTGGCGCATTCACTCACCCAGCTCTGTTTCTACCACGTTGGAATCCTCCACTACAAAATCATCATCTCCTTTACCCTACCTTCATCCAAAGCACCGCGTATCTTACTGTCAGCTGGTAGCGCTGTCAAGAAATAACCTGCTAAATTAGAAGCTGGAAAACTATTGCCTTGGGGTTAAGTTCAGCCCATCATGCTAATAAACCTTTATTGGAGATCGCTAAGTCCTTAATTTATATATTATATATGGCTGATTTTGTGCTCCAGTGGTTAGAGTTGAATATTTGCAACCAGGATCATCTGACTCTTCACAGCTTAACATATTTACTGTAGTAGCATTTGCAGAAAAAGCCTTCCGATACCTGCACTGAATCAAATCATATTTTGATATTAATATGTTCAATATGTATCTCCTTCTTGTCCTTCAGTCATAATGTTAATAACAACTCTGTTGAGATTAAATTCATGTATCATAAAATTCATCCTCTTGGACCCGGAACAGTAGCATAATAGCTGAAGTCCTTGCCTTGCGCGTGCCAGGATCCCATATGGGTGCTAGTTCATGTCCCAGTGGCCTCGCTTCCCATCCAGCTCCCTGCTCGTGGCCTGGGAAAGCATTCAAGGACAGCCCAATACCTTGGGACACTGCACCCATGTGGGAGACGCGGAGGAGGCTCCGGAGTCCTAGCTTATGATCAGCGTAACACTGGTTGTTGCAGCCGCTTGTAGAGTGAATCAGTGGACGAAAGATCTATCTCTCTGTGTCTCCTCCTCTCTGTATATCTGATTTTCCAATAAAAATAAATAAATCTTTAAAAGAGTCATCCTCTTAATCAGTGTTGTTCAATTTTTCGTAGATTGACAAACTAGACAATTGTTTGCTCCGTTTCATTTTAAAATATTTTAGTTGCTCCCCAAACAAACCTTATATCCATTAGCAGTCACTTCTCAGTTCCTGGCGACCTACTGATCTACTTTCTGTCCATATAGATTTGCTCTTCTGGACGTTTTATATAAATGTCACACAGCAAATGTGGGCTTGTGTATCTGGTTACTTAAGAATAGAGTAGGAAAAGAAGAAAGAAACAAGAAGTAAAGGAGGAAGCAAGGAAAGAAAAATGCCGACATGAACAGAAAATTCTGAACTGGCCATTAAAGAAAGTGACCGTTGTGGCAGTCATCTTCATGTCTACTGTCTCTCCTTGGCCTTCTAGCTCACATTCAAAAACCAGCCAACCAAAAATCCGGAAATGGCTTCAGATATTGTTCATCTTCATGAACTTTAAATAGTATATCTTTTCAACTATGTTATATGTGTAGATATATAATTTTAATAGAAATTGTATGTTGTAACTTGAGTTTATTTTTTAGCTACATAATAGGCAGTTTTATTACATAGATATGCTAGATGAAACAGATCACTTGTACTTGGACATTTTAATTATTTCTAGCTTTTCTTTGAATCTTTTGTTTAGTCTTAATTAATTGTTTAGATAAGCTTATAGGAAGGAAGTGAGCCAACAAGTGTGCGAAATGTTAGTTAAAGTTTTGGTATGACTTAGATTGCCCATTTATCATTTGAAAAAGTCATACAGTTTATATTCCCAACAGCACAGTCCAAAACTAAAAGGCTGCTATTTACTCTTGCTTTATTTCTATTGCGTTCATTACCAAGAAGAAGAAATTTCCAGATCCAGTGCGGTAGTCTAGGGGCTAAATCCTCACCTTACAACCAAGAGGATTCCATATGAGTGCCAGTTTGTATCCCAGCTGCTCCGCTTCTAATCCAGCTCCCTGCTTGTGGCCTGGAAAGCAGTAGAGGATGGCCCAAGGCCTTGAGACCCTGTATCCTGTTGTTCAAATGCGTAGTTGATTGATTATCAATAATATGGCTTCTTGATTAAAAGAAAGTCTTCTTTCCTGTAGCTTTAAAACTACATTATTACAACGTTGAATCCACGTTTAAGCAAGTACAATCCAATGCCAGATCCCGTAACCAAACTACTTTGTCTGATTTTAAAGTGTCAACATGCACAGAGTCGGAGCTAGAGGTCATCCGATGCTTGAGGCTGGCGCTGACCGAGGCTGTCAAGGACATTGTCCAGCAGACCGTATCTGTGATGACCTCTCGGAAAAACTGTGAGACAAACCCAACCAAGCCGTGTGTCCCTGAACGTTTGCTTGAGAGTATTCCCCAAGAATGCTGCTACATTCCACGAGAGACCCAAAAGAAAGAACCGAGTAAAGGTAAGAGTGTTCTTGAGAATTAATGCGGTGGTCTTCTAGGATATGCAATCAAGTAAAATACTAAAAATCATAGGACAGATAAACTGTATTAATCTTCCTTCTACCAAGAAGAATATTTGGGACCCTTAATCATTTTTTTCTTTTTTTTTTTTTCCTCTGAGCCACTGAATCAAGGTCATTAGAAATGGTCACCTTCCAGTCTAGAATTTGTGTTGTTGTTAATTTTCACTGAGTAGTATTCACAGTCATATGAAACAGTCATATGACTTTAATAGTCATAAACAGTCATATGACTTTAACTAGTTTCCTTTAAATTTATTGAGTAATCTAAAATATTCCCTATTCCCTCTAGATGACTCTGATATTCACTTAGATGAGTTTTCTTGAAGTTTTTCCCCTGCAGCCACCAATTAATCCTTTTTTTTTTGCACTTATTAATACACCTACATGGGCAGTTTGTAGGAGAAAAACAGTGGCGCCTGTGAGAACTACCTGGGTTTTCCTGCCACAGTGTTTTCCCCAACAGCTGGAATTCTGAGTTGACACTATTGTTCCTACTCAGAGGAAGGATCTACCACATGGATTTCAGCATCATCCTCAATGTCACTTTCACTGATTGCGTGAGACCAATCCCTTCTTTCTAAATGTTCTTGCCTATTCCATATCTTTTGGCATTCCCAGAATTTGCATGATTGCTTGGAGATGTATTTTGAAGAATATTTTTATCTAGCTCCACAAAAGCTGTCAATAAGAACATTTCTAGGTAAATCCCTGATGTCAGTTGGAGGGGCTAGTCTTTACCGAATCCTTCTCTGTGGAACGCCCAAGCAGTGAGGCTCTTCTCCATTGACCTTCTGTTAAAAACTCAAATCAATTATCTACCTGTGACCTTTCATCATCATGCTTAATTCTATTCAAGCCTTATTAAACTGCCTTTGAAGCTGGTAAAGCCATTTAATTGAAAATTGAAAATGTCACCTGTTCATTACTGAAGTTCTTCCTTGTCCAAGTGGTTGCCCCTTCTCCTTTGTCCTTGCATTGGCACATTTCATACATTTGAAACAATTCAGGAACTATATCATGCCATAGAGCTAGCATTATTTTGCCTTTCACTATCATTTATGGTAGCTAATTTATAATCTAGGCTTATTGTATTTTTGAAGGAGAAATGGTGTATACTGGGTCAAGGAATTCACAGGTGATGAAACACAGTCACCAGATAGATGGTGTTTATGTGCCGGTCTGTAAGTCATTTGTTCAGTCCTTTGCTCCTTCAGCGGATATTACTGAGTGAGTCACTGTTACATCACAGGTACCGTACTGGAGGGTCAGCTGTAAATACAGCATACCTGCTGGTGCTTAAAGCCCAATGTAACTGTCTCAGAGTGGGTACAGCGTAGGGGAGGGGCACACAGCTTTTTGGTGTGTTAGAAGAATGAAATTAAACCTTCCTACCATATTACATGGAGGTCGTCCCTGGAACCCTGCTTTGGTCTTGTGGTGAGCCTGTGTGGTTTTGGGGACCCTATATGAGGAAGCTCAGGACAAGAAGAGCAAGGAGTCCTGCAGAATGGGAGGGCGCCATCGGGCAGGGCCTCCTCACTCCTCCTCACTCACATTTCCGTGTGCAGGTGGACGAAAGTTGGTGTTTGTGCCACACAATCTTGTTGTTGTTGTTGTTGTTTGTTTGTTTGTTTAAATGTATTCTTTTTGGGAAAGGCAGTTATAGAGAGAAGGAGAGAGAGAGACTGAGATGTAGTATCACTGGTTCACTCCCCAAATGGTGACCATGACCATGGCCAAGCTTGGGCTAATCTGAAGCCAGGAATTTCTTCCAGGTTTTCCATGTGGATGCAGGATCCCTAGGACTTGAACCACCCTCCCTAAGCAGGGAGGTGAATCAAAAGTGGAACAACCAGAACACCAGCTGGTGCTGATATGGAATGCCAGTACCGCAGGCAGAGGATTAGCCTACTGTGCCACAGCACTGGCCACACACATCCTAGTTTTAACATATCCTTCTGGAACCACAAGTGAATCGACATTCACAAAAATCAAGAGATCAACTCCTGATGAGAAGACAGGGAAGAACAAAGAGTAGCAAAGTGAAAAAACCTCAGATGTATTTCTGTTTCTCATACACTCAGACATATTTTAAGGCAGAGCAGTGATGACCCGATGAGATTTGCAGAGGCATCGGAATGGAAATCTGCATGGGGGGAGGGGAAGATTTGAAATATGGTTTCCCATACGTCAGTGTCAAGTCTAAGTCCTCCAAAGTGAGCGTTCTCCCTGACACGCTGGTTAGAGATAGTTTGAAATCATCTAAAGGAGCAAAGAATTTCGAAACCAAGCATCCAAAACCGAGACAAACCTCGGTAATTTTTCCAGGATGCTTCAAACAATGTGCGATCATGTTCTTTGCAAAATTACTCTGAACAATGATAAATGTTTAAACATCTTTCTCCTGAATTCTAACCCAGTGAAAGATGAATCGGTACCACCTCGAGGCAACATTTGTACTTCCTGACAGAGTAAAAATGACAGAACATGGAAAGCACGCTGGTGACGCGAAAACACATTTCTTTATCTCTTTGTCAGCAGATACTTTTGCATTAAAAAAAAAATCGACGATTTAAAGAACCAGATACTCCCATAAATTATCCAGCAGGAGAGTTACCGCACGCTTGGATGAAAGTTCAGTCGGCTCTGACATAGCTCGGCTCCTGGGCATTTGCAGTTGTGTTTGAAAGAACAAACAAAAGGAACTTGTCTTATTTTGCATTGTCTCTTTGACAACAATTAATCAAAGGGCACACCTGAGATGATATTTTTCACAACAGTAAATGCCCTTTTTAGCGAAAGAGCTCTTCATGGGAAAACTGCTGAAAGAATGGTTTCATGGGAGCAGTGGCTCTGGAAAGAGCAGTGGTTACGCTGGAGGGATAACATTACTGTGCCAGGGTCCCCATGCAGATGGCTGAGGGGACAAAGCCACAAGCAGAATACACCACATGCTACTGCAAGCAATGGAGCCTGCTTTGCAGAAAGTCTAGAGCTCTTCATTAATATCTATAGATAAATATATATATATATAATCTGGTATCACTTATAAAAATAGCATAGATGTTTACACTTAAAAGAATACAAAAGACAGAATTTTGTAATATGAGCTAAAATATTGTAAATGAAGAGTTTCTGTAATTATTGACCCTTTTCCTTAAAGACAAAATGAAATGTTTTGTGATTTCTTTCTTAAGAATATCTGACCTCTTTGGTGATGGATATCTGTAAGTCATATTTGCACAAACGTTTTTGCCTGTTGGATAGTTGAAAGTGGACCACCTACACCATGTATTTTAAAATTTTTTTGTCATTGTTGGGAAGTAGAGAGTGGGAATAAAAGAGATCTGCTTTTAGCGGGTTCTCTCTGTGAATGGCTACAGTAGTGAGGGGATGGGGAGACAGGACACTCTGAAGCCAGGCACCAGAACCTCAGTGCAGCTCTTTCCCATGCATGGCAGGGGACCCAACTCTTTGAGCTCTCATTATAAGGAGAGACTCTGAGGACTGACTCCGCCATCCTGGACTCAAAGCCACTCTGAAGGCCTGGCATGCCTGCTTACGCAGTACTGCCTTCACTCTCCTGGGTCTCAGTTCCGTTGAAGACCTGGTTCCCCATCACTGCCTTAAGCCTCCTGCATCTCATCCCCCTCAAGGCCCACTTGCCTAATTAAGCTTAGAGACCTTCAGGTTTCAACTGCTCCCTGCACCAATCCCCTGAGGCATGTATTCCTGGTGTCCGCCTGAGGCTGCCTCTTCCCACCACCTCTTCCCACCCCTGAGCCCGTACTCACTGCTCCCCTGCCCCCAGGCTGTGAGAGATGCCTCTTTCCTTTGTTCCCTCTCTGCTCTGCTCTCACTTTCTACCTACTTCCTGCTACCTCCCTCGCTGAATAAAGGCGCAATTTCTGTGTCCAGCATCTTGGGTTTGTGAAAAAAAGGTAACAGTCACTTCCCGCTTTTCAGAATTTCATTACCAGGAACTTGAATCCGCAGCGGAGCCGGGACTCAAGCCCCAGCACTCCGATGTTGGATGTAGGCCTTGCAAGCAGCATCTATTTTTTTAAGGCTGGGGGTGGCTGTCCCCTGGTGCTACCTCACAGGTATGCGCTAGCAGGGGACTAGAGTGAGGACTGGAGCTAAGAATTGAACGCAGGCACTCTGATGTCAGAGGCAGTGTCTCGATGGCTGATATCGCTACCATAATTTACCTTTGCATTTCATTTTCTATTAAGTACCCTCTCTGTAAATTCCAGCACTGCGTTACCACGTCACCGGAGCTTAGAACCTCGCATACAAGAGTTGTTCAATAAGTATTTCTGGAATAATCTGTGGAACTGATAAATTCGCTTATGTTTATCATCTATTCCTGCTGTGTGTTTGTGCCCCACACTAGTTCCACTTCGTGCTAGCATCTATGAAGCGTGGATATTTAATTCTTTCTTTATTTTGCTTGAAGAAGTTATAGAAAGATATTTTATTTGCTAGTTCACTCACTAAATGGCCACAGTGGCTAGAGCTGGGTTACTCTGAAGCCAGGAGCCAGTGGCTTCTTTAAGATCTCCCACGGGGGAGCATGGACCCAAAACCCAAGTCCGTCACCTGCTGCTTTCCCACACCATACAGAGGGAGCTGCAGCCGAAGTGGAACTGTCTGGACATGAACCTACAGATGTTTGGAATGCAAGCACCGCAGGCAGAGGACTAGCTTGCTATACTATCATACCGGCCACGTTAATCAGCATCTTAATCACCATCAACCACCATCATTTTGTCAGCACAGTTGGTTATTCCTTTATTCCATTTGCATCTGTAGTCTAATATGCATATGATAGTTCTCAATGTATTTTTTGTACCAAAGTGAATTATATTTTAATTTATTTCCCATGAACCTTTTTAGTAGCCTTGTTTGTGTCCTAACTTTTATTTTTTTTTTACTGATAATAGCCATTAACACCTGGTATTGAAACAAACTAAACTTCATATATCCTGAAATGTTAAGTCCAGATTTGTAAAATAGTAAATTATACTAAATCACATTGTCCTCATTGAACTAATTGCTATTTTATACCAATAGCAAAATTTTAAAATTAAGCTCAAGACATTATTTTGTCTTTGTTTCATTTGTACAAATTTCCTTTTTGTGTGCTGCGTAATTGTAAATATATATCACAGTGGTATACAGATATAGGAAGGAAGAAATGATAAATGATAAATAGGTATATCATGTGGGATTCACCAGAAAACTTATTTCTTTTTCCTCTTTATCAGCACTGTAGTTAAAACGACTCTTACAATATGCTACATATCTATGGCTTAGGTAGAAGTTAACTTTGTTTAAATAAACCTTGTGACAATATTAAAAGGCGTCTTGCCATTGAATCTGTAACACCAAGGTAGACTCAGTCCTTGTGAACAGTAGGATGCATTCATTAATCTGTCATAAGCTAGAGGTCTGATTGAAGTTTGCCTCAGGCGTTAATGAAGTAGTTGGGGATTTGAACGCATGAAATCGTCAGGGTTTGAAAAATAATACCAGGGGCCCGGCAAGATAGTGCAATGGTTAAAGTCCTCACCTTGAACACACCGGGATCCCATATGGGCACCAGTTCTAATTCCAGCAGCTCCACTTCCCATCCAACTCCCTGCTTGTGGCCTGGGAAAGCAGTCGAGGACAGCCCAAAGACTTGGGACCCTGCACCCGAGTGGGAGACCCGGAAAGAAGTTCCTGGCTCCTAACTTCGTATCGGAGCAGTAATGGCAGTTGTGGCCACTTGGGGAGTGAATCATCAGGCAAAAGATCTTCCTCTCTGTCTCTCCTCCTTTCTGTACCCCTTCCTTTCCGATAAAATAAATAAATCTTTTAAAAAAAAAAAGAAAAGAAAAATAATACCAGTAGAAGTACAAGTGTAAAGAGAATTGGAAATCTTATCTGATACCTACTTAGCTTCCTCAATATTTGTGGTTAAGTCCTGTTTAGATGGAAGGAATGCAATGTGTGAGGGAACTTCAAAATTTAATGGGAAAATGGAATAGAAAGGGTTAATTTTAGTTCAAAAAATTCTCATACATAGTGTCTCATTGAGAGTGTTTTCATAATCTGCATTTTCTTTGAACTTTAAACCCTTATATATTGATTTATTTTGAACAACAGAGAAAGAAGGTGAAAGATGGTGGGCAGGGAGAGAGAGTCAGTCTTCCCACTTGCTGATTTATTTCCCCAGGTGTCCACAATTGCTGGGGCCTGGCCGGGTCAAAACTAGGAGTGGGGACTCAGTCTCTCGCAAGACCCAGTGACCTGGGACACCGCTGCCGCCCTGCCTGCTACGCATCAGCAGGAAGCTTGAACAGGACGCTCAGCTGGAGCCCGAATCCAGGGAGGGCAAAATGGGATGCAGATGCTTCCAGCGGCATTTGAGCTGCTGTGCTAGACGCCTGCCCTTCCGCAGACATTTATGAAGACACCCTCCTACAGTCTTTGAAGTAAATGGTAGTAGAAGCACAAAACCTTATAGAAGAACAAAAAGATGAGAGATCTTAAAGCAATTTCTTAATTTATCTACTTCTTAAGCCTCTATCTGAGAATAGTCATTTGAATGAAAACGTTTATTGAAAAGCATTTTTTAAATAGCTTTTTTTTAAAAAAAAAAATTGGAAATACAAAGATACAAAGAGGAGAGATAGAGCTCTTGCATCCACTGGTTCACTCTCTTGAATTGGCTGCAACAGCCGGAGCTGAGCCGATCTGAAACCAGGAGCCAGGAGCTTCTTCCAGGTCTCCTACATGGATGCAATGTCCCTAAGGATTTTCCCAGGCCATAAGCAAGGAACTGGCTTGGAAGTGAAGTAGCCAGGACACAAACCAGTGCCTTAAGGGATGTTGACACTGTATGCTTAGACCACTATGCCATGGTGCCAATCCCTGAAGAATTTTTTTTAATCAAATACTGAAATAAGCATTTCCATATGTATCTTGTTTAATACAGCAATGTTATGAGATAATTAGAAAGTGTGTTGGACTCAGCTGTCACAAACTTTTATTAAAGCAACTCCAGTTAATTTTTAATATATATTGAGAGACAGAAGGGTTGGGTTGGAGAGAGAAAAAAAAGAAAGCTCCTGTCACCTAGTTTACTTCCTACAAGCCTGGAATGGCAAAAACTGAGACATACAAAAGCTGCAAGCGAGAAATCAGTGCAATGTTCCATCTGAACATCAGGAACCCAATTAGGAGAAAACTAGCACGAAGCAAGGGAGAGCTCACAGAATTTTCAGCTAAAAGGCCAAGGACTTCTTGACAAATATCCACGCTTCATAGATGCTAGCACGAAGTGGAACTAGTGTGAGGCACAAACACACAGCAGGAATAGATGATAAACATAAGCGAATTTATCAGTTCCACAGATTATTCCAGAAATACTTATTGAACAACTCTTGTGTGCGAGGTTCTAAGCTCCGGTGATGTGGTAACGCAGTGCTGGAATTTACAGAGAGGGTACTTAATAGAAAATGAAATGCAAAGGTAAATTATGGTAGCGATATCAGCCATCGAGACACTGCCTCTGACATCAGAGTGCCTGCGTTCAATTCTTAGCTCCAGTCCTCACTCTAGTCCCCTGCTAGCGCATACCTGTGAGGTAGCACCAAGGGACAGCTTAAAAAGTGAGGTGCCTGCCTCCGACAGGGAAGTCCTGCATTGAGTTCCGGAGTCCAGGCTTCAGCCTTGCCCACGCTGGCCTTGAGGGTCATCGGGGATGTGAGCCATGCGGCAGGACCTGCCTTATTCCTGGCTCACGCTCGCTTGCTCTCCTCTTTTCTCCCTCTGCGTTTCAAATAAATTTTTTTTAAATGCCTTAAAAAAATAAATTTATGCTGGCACAATATCTTTTACTGGAGAATGACAGTTCAGTGCTGTTGCAAATGTAACAAGATGGACCTCAGAGCATGAAGAGACTGCACTGGGTGGGATGGTGAGGAAGCCAGGAGGAGTGAGGGCTGGGCAGGGCTGGGCTGATTGTGTCGTGGGTTCCAGAAGGGAACCTCTAAAGGGCGGGGAGTCAGAAGCATCAAAGACTAAGTCTCCAAGAGGGGTCCTCCAGGGGCCCATTTGCATCTGTCAATTAGGAGGACATCTGGGTACTTGAAAGCTGCAGTCCTGAAAGATAAAAATATAAATGATAATTCTGAATTGTTTAGTCCTCATTTAAGGGAGGTGAACAGAATTAAAGAACAGTTTTTGGAACTTGGGGAATTTTAGGGAGCATACAGGAAACCCAGGTGGGATGTGCCAAGCCTCCTGCTCTACTCAACAATTTTCTCCGCAAAAATTAGACGTCCCCACACAACACAAAACCATGCAGTGGAACTCAAATGCTAATATTAATCATGCCTTTTCTTTCCCTTCTTCCCCAGGCTTCGCAAGGCTTGCTGCTGAGGCAGTATCTATTGTAATCAGCAAGTTACCTACAGTGATTGCATGCTTGCCTCCCCCAATTAAATACTTCTTTTTTCTGTCTGAGAGAAAAATGTCAAAAAACTTTGTTGAATTGAAGAAAGCTGGCCTGCTTGTCTGGAACTTGATTGTAATTATATGTCGGATATTCGAAGATGGGAACACCGCAGAACTTTTAACAGGTGCCTGCCTTGACAGATGGAGCAAAGAGAAACTTGGTTTGATTTGTGTGTGTTTGAAAAGCATCATGGGAGAGCCGAGCGGCCCTAATCAGATGGCCCAGAAGGTCATCCAGATCATTGAGCAGCAGAAGCCCAACTGGATCGAGCGCCAACTGTGGAAAGCAAAGAGACTGAGCGCTGAATGGTAGAGTCCTGTCCCCTCCCCTTTGCATTTCATCAAAGGCTTTCATGCTAACAAAACCACGAGGACACAACAACAAAAATATTGTCAGATGGGCAGCAGTGGTTATTTGGCAAAATTCATGGGAACTTTGATGAATATAGAGAGAAAAAAAGAGAGAGATAAGTCTCCCATGAAAAGCTGGGTTGTTAGACATTCCTTGTCTTGGTAATATTTGAATCTCATTGCCTCACTGGAACATTACACTGGTTTAGTCAGTGTCTTAAGGTTTCTGATTAAAAGGGTGGTAGGTAAGCCTAGGAGACTTTGGTTTCACCGCTTCTCAGTGAGCAAACAGGTCTCTATCAAGTGGGTAGGCCAGAGCATTTTTTATAAATGGAGATTAAATTAAGAAGAAATTAATGAATAGAAAAGGCTTTTTATTGCTTTTTGTGTACCTGATTGTCAGAAAGGTACACATTTGTCATCTGGTAATATAACACCCCGGAGGGCAGCCGGGGCCTAGCACACTCGCGCCTATAAACACCCCAGCTGCTTCTCTATGAAAATGTCAGTCTTCTTGTCGGTGTGTCACCACGAGCTAAGTGACTTGTGATATTGCAAAGATTCTTAAGGGTCTCCGATGAATTTAAATGTGTACCCAGAGTCCTCCTGTCTGAAAATTACCCTTTGGAGATGGGGTTGCGTGATACTGATAAAAGAGTTCGGCTCAGCTGGTCTGTGGATCACTAAGGCAGCCCTCTTTTTTAAACGCTTGCCATGTTATCCCCCCATTTTCAAAAATATATATGAGTGGCTAACAGATACAGTTTAACTTTCAGTTGAAGTGGCTCCAAGCTGTGCTTAACTCCCACTAGTTCATAGCCCTGAAAAAGAAGAGCAGCTTTGAAAATGAGCTGGACCAGTGAATGTGTGAATGGGCTCTGTCAGGGAGTCTTCATCCCAGTTACTGAGTCTGGAAAATTAAATAGAATTCACTAAATTCTTAGAATCAAGGTTAGAACTAGTAACCATTTGTTATTTACAAGCTATTAAAATACATTTACTGGTTAGTGTTATGATAATGAGTGCTCTTGTCTATATTAATCTAGAAGACTGTATTCATGCAAATGGAGAAGAATGGATCATCCAGAATTTCGTGGTCTTGCCTGCCATTTTAAACTGACTGCTGGGAAACTTAATTCTGGAGTGTCACATGGGTAGAATTAACAATAGTTGTCAGGAAAATGCCTGCTAACATTGACAATGACCTTCTACATCTTTAGATTTGCATTCAATACCAATTTACAGGTTTTAATTTAATGACTAAAAGATTAAGGCCAGATGTCTTTATGCATGGCAGGGGGTCTACCGAGGAGAAGGAAAAAAAAAAAGAATAAAATAGATCTGATTATGGTTACAAAATTAAATTTATGATATTGCTGATTTAGCAGCCCTCTATCTGAAAAGACCCATTTAAAGCATTAAGTAGCATACTTAGGGCTCGTATACAGAAACTCAAATATTAAGATTTTTTTTTAACCCTATGAACTGATTTTAACTTAAGCATTGGTACTTTGGTGTAATCCCCAGCAGGGAGTTGTTGGCTGATGTTTGGCTGATTAACAAATGGGTCAGGAGATTATTTAGTCATCTCTTACAACATGCATCCCAAATGAAAAATTGTTGATTTAAAAGTTGTTTTACAGCCCTCAAAAATTCTGAATAGTTAGCACAAAGCTATGTCTTCTTCATTAATTATTTGACAGGAACCGATGTTTGTTGAGTTCGGAAATCTACAATTTGAGGAAAAAAAAATGTATTTCAAACCGTGTTGGATAAATAATTTCCTTGGATTAGCCATATTTTTAAAAGAAGATTTTTACGTAAGCATATCAACTAGAAGACTTGTAAAAATACTCATAGTTCTGTAAATTAACTCTTAGGTTCCCATGCCGACTACCCTGGGACACCATGATGTCACTGCGTTAGCGTTCTTTCAGCTGCACTCAGATTTGACCTTGATTTTCTGGAGATGGTGAAAATGACTGCCCAGGGAGAGGGGGCAGCTGCGAGCCTTGCCTGTCTTGCACACTGCCTGAAAGCCTCCCTATTCATTAAAATAACCTTCACTTTGTAACAACACTCAAGCTGTAAACAGTCAACTTAGATTCTGAGGAACACACAGCCGCAAAAGTGAAGAAATGTCTGCCTTTGCAAAGTAATTTGTCGAGTTGAAGATTATTGTTTTTCATCATGGTGACCCTGACTTGGCTGGCTGGGTGCATATACAGATTAAGATTAATGCAGTTATTCCTTGGCTAAGGTCTGCCTCTTTCAGGGCATTCTCCCTAATGACATGATTGATAGGCAGTCCCAAATCCAGAGAGGAACTCATTAATCACAGCATTGACTGAATCCAATCATTTGCTTCACCTGCACAGTGATGGACAGGAAAGGATACAATTCAGGGGCTGACACTGAGAGACTCTTTTGTCAGAGGGCCTCAACTTTCTCAATGTCAGCCTCTACAAAACCTGGCAAGAGATTTTTGCTTTGCAACCTGTGTGCAGTTTCTAAAGGATGTTTGCAAACTTCTTTTACTGAAATGAGGTCCTTTTTTTTTCTTTCCTAATGAATATCTCTAACTCTGAGTCAGATTTGCTTAATTTTTTAAAACTAAGTTTATATGATCTTAAAGTTCCTTTTTTTTTTTTTTGCTGTTGCTGGAGAGGACATTTTGAAGCTACATGTGGAAGCAATATCAAAGTTAATGTCCAACAGCTGGGTATCATTTGGGTCCGTCTGTAGGTCAGCGGCACCGACTCTTAGCAGAACTAATTTTATAATCATGGCAGAATCTCGGTAATGAACTGCAGTATACAGCTGATTACAGCACAGCAAATCTCATTTCGTTTGGGAAACAGTGGAAAAACTGTGAGTTTTCCTAAGAATATTTAGATTGCAAAATCTACCATGAGCCTGATAGCAATTGTAATAGGAGAATTACTGCGGAGCATACACGATGTATGTTGAGTATTGGTATGTGATTTATTTTTTGCACTGGTGTAGTTTGAGATGTTTGGCAATTGTGTATTGTCATCCATTATTATCATCCAAATATTGGTAAAGATAAACATATGACTTCTAAAGGAAATATTACAGAACTGTGTCTGCACATTCCTTCTGTAGTGATGGATCTTTTTGGAAGAATAGGATGAGTATGAGCAGGCTTTTTTTTTAATTTCAACATAGAAAATGGAATTAAAATATAATTCCTGTTTGGTACAAATAAAATTCTGACTTGTGCATCCTTGTATCTGTTACTGGAAAGAGACAGAAGAGGAGGCTTATATATATTTTTAAAGGCAACAAGTGTGAAAGGACAATTTTAAAAATCCAGTGGTGAGCACACTGCCACAAAGCATCCATGCTATATTTAGCATAATAGTCTCTCTCTTTTGGCACTTTAATTAGTCTTTAATGTGGTCTAAGACAGGTGTGAAGAGGGCTCTACAAAAGACGGAATACCAAAGCTATTTCTGGCATCAAAGATACTTTTTATCCTCAAAGAGAAAATATAAATTGTTTCTTCCATGTTCTTAAAGAGAAATGTTTTGTTTTCATCCCGTGATTATAGCAATTTCAACAGTTGCAGTAATGGGAAAATGTTTTATAGATGGGAGTGAACAGATTCGATTTTTGTGGAAACGCCCTCAGGTGCTTCGTTCTGAAGCTCAGTGCGTGTGAGCCGCCGTAGTTTAGGACGCCTTAGCTTTCTGAGTAAAGTCTTGCTTGGGGCTTAGCATAGGGGCTCCGACCCAGCCCTCCACACTCAAGCTCTGGGCTTCTGTCCCATCTTTACAACTCTCCACCACTGATCTGTCCATGCTCTCTTTGTATTCAGTGCAACGATGACAGCAGAGAAGAACCCAGCCTCGGAAGAAGGAGATACTGCTCTTGAACTGACTGAGCAGAAAATAAACACGACAGTCCTGGATCTGTGCCACCAACCAGGTGGCAGCGAGTACCTGAGGCAAATTTATCACATCATGCGGCTCAATGAGGTAGGGAAACGGCCTTTTTACCGAGCAATTAGGTGTGTACTGGCCTGCGGCAGCGTCTGCTGGCAGCTAAGGGTTACTCAAGGAGGTGATAATACTTCTTAAAGTCAATACCAAACTCAATATTGCATTCTTAATAGAATCTATTCAGCCCCGGCTGTTCTGCATTTATACAGAAAAAGCTTCCCTGAAACAATGTAGGTTTTATTTATATGGTTTAAACAATCACATGGCTCATAAATCCAATTCAGTTCCGAATTGTTGCAGACTGGAGGGGTAGTTTGGGAATTGTGTGTTTTGTGGACATTGAGCTGGTGTTCAAATCTACTATTTGTTGAGAGGCAGAGTTTTCGGAGCAGAGACTTGGCTCTTTTTTCTCAAGACTTTCATAAGTGAGCTCTACTGTTTCTTACAAAATGCAAAAACTTTAGAAGGACGTTGAACTTTAATCAGGAGCCACCAGCTTAACCCAAGAAGATTCATTAATAAATGGACACTGGATAGAACCAGTGTGTTTCCCATGTGTCTCATCCAACACATGACCTTGCGTGTTTTGGGTTGCAGTAGTGAAAGCCAAAATAGCAGGTTATCTTAGCTGTTTACTGAAAACAGTACAAGTTCATTAACCACTTTAGAGTTTTAATTTGCTTGTATACATCTGAATAGACCGGCAGCTATCTATAAGTTACTTCAAGTAAAGCTTGTTCTCTGTATTTCATGTGGTCAGTGAGCCCCTCAGTAAATAGGTGATATAACCGTGTGCTCAGCGATAACCTCGGAAGGATGGGGGAAGTGGTAGCATGAGGAACAACCCTGACCTTAAGACAAAGGAGCTCTGTAATTGTTACAAAACAACGCAACCTACTCACTCTCGGAGAGAATGACTCTTAAATTATTTGTGGTTTCTTTTGGGGAAATTCAAGGATTCTTGCTTTGACAACCTGAAAGACTTGAGTTGTGCAATCCTGTTTCTCATTGATGTGACCACCTGGCCACCCTGACTGTCCAAAGTAACCGTGGCAACTAGTAAAGAACAGATGTTGCTGTAGGATTACCCTCAGGTCCTTAGTAAAATGGAGTTAGAATAACTTTGAGGGTAACTCAATAACTGAATGGCTGGTATAGATTGCCAGCCTGATAGAATTATCCTATTTTCTGAAGATCCCTAGTACAAGAAAGAAAACAGTAATTACCAAGAAGCAAAATCATCAAAAATTAAGTCGGATATCTTTTGGCCATCGGTCACCTCACATGTTCTGGAAAACTATAGACAGTTCGCTCCCGGAATCAATGTAATTCTGCGGTAGAAATTCGCAACAGCTCTGCTGTGTGATGTACACGGGCTGCCCTGCCACGTGTTCATCAACTAAGCACAAAGTTGTGGTTTGTCTTTTGTCACAACTGGAAATGTTTTCTGCCCTGGTGTTGTCTGTTAGCTGTGGAGCCAAGGACTGGGCACTCCGCTGTGAGGCGTGGGTCACAGGCATACTATTAGGTGAGGCTGAAAACAAAGAGAGTAGGACATATCTGCCTTGTGAATATTATGAAAAGACAGACAATAATCCCAAGCATAAGTGATTATACAGTACTTAAGAGCCACATTTTTCCTTGCGCAGGGGCCATGCTAATCTTCTCTGTATCGTTCCAATTTTAGTATATGCGCTGCCGAAGCGAGCACAAGAGCTGTATTTTTTACTACAAGACAGCAGCAGATTGGGTGAAATTGTGCTGTGATGTTAGCTCATCTGCAGATGTGCTATCGAAAATTACTTGAAAATATAAATGGAAAAATAATTATGGGTTCAGAGCTGGGAGAGGGAAAGGGTGGGGAATGTACCTTTGATAGGGGATGAAAGGTTGTGAGGGAAATCAGATTAAAGGGTGCTTTCCAAGATCAAGGTAAGATGTTCAAGCAAACAGGGCAGTTGTTATTGAGGTTCTTGCCCAGAGCAGACGTTTCTCATATAGTGATTTGGCATCCTCAGTGAGCAGGGTGGCCGGGGTCCTCATGGTAGAGCTCTCCCATGGTGAAGGAAACGGAAATGATGGATAGAAATGTTCAAGAAACAACGAGGGCCCAGCGCTATAGCCTAGCAGCTAAAGTCCTCACCCTGCACACTCCAGGATCCCATATGGGCACTGGTTTATGTCCCAGAAGCCCCACTTCCAATCCAGCTCCCTGCTTGTGGCCTGAATGGCTGGTTGAGGAAAGCAGTTGAGGATGGCCCAAAGCTTTGGGACGCTGCACACATGTAGGAGGCTCCTGGCCCCTGGCTTCAGATTGGCTCAGCTCCAGCTGTTGCAGCCACTTGGGGAATGAACCAACGGACAGACGATCTTCCCCTCTGTCTCTTCTCCTCTCTGTCTTTCTGATTTTCCAATAAAAGTAAAAAAAGTAAATCTTTGAAAAAAAGAAAAGAAACAATGAAATCTGCAGAAAGCCCTGATTAGTGGCAAATGTGACAAAAGCAGTGTTACAGTAGACAAATGGGGTTTTTAAGGAAGGGGGTTGGGGGAGTCCATAGAGCAGCATAAAGTGGGAGAAAAATACCACTTTGTTCACATCTTGTCACAGAGCACCCTATTTTGAAAATGAACAAGCTGAATAAATGACTAATTGCTATTAACAAGTAGTGATTTCTTAAGATATGTAGGGTTTTAGGATTTGAAATTTGCCTTCCACATGCAAACCAATGGGCGTTCATAAAGTTACAGGGACACAAGAGCCAACCACCAAGTGCACTGTTGGGTCACAGAGTTTCTGAAACTTGCCCTGGCTCCCTGGCCTCTCTGGAAAGACAATGATTGAGCCAGGACCGAAGTTCTAGCAGTATCCCAGGTGAGGCTGACTGGTCTATGACCCCGCCTTGAGCAGGAAAGGCTTTTAAATGACCCCCTGAAGCCTTTTACAGCGCAAGTGTTCTGAGCTTCACCTGCACCCTAACTTGAAAGAGAAAACAGTTATATTATTGGGGTGAGTGTTGAATATCAATGGGTTGAGCTGCTACTTGGAACAGCTACAACTATATCAAAGTACCAGTTAGAGTGGCTAATCTGCTTCTGACCCAGCTTCCTGCTAATGTGCCCAGGAGGGCAGCAGTGACGGCTTAAGCAGTTGGGACCCTACCATCCATTTGAGTAACCCTGATGGAGTCCTCAACTCCTGGCTGCAGCCAGTTCCCATCCCAGCTGTTGTGGTCATTGTGGAGTGGCCCTGTGGCTGGAAAACCTCTCTCCCCCATTCGAATGAATGCATAAATAAATGAGTCAGTCAAAATGTTCTTGACATAACAATAATCCTACGATTGTTAAATGACATCAGTAGTAAGCATTTATTACTATTAGATGGCATTCATTGATAAGGATTATTCCTCTTACAAATTTTTTTAGTTGAAAATCAAGTATAATGCAACAATTTGTCTTTTATTTTTTTTTTACCTGAGCCTGAAAATTAGGTATTTTGAGCTTCTTTTGAACCTTAAAGAGCAGGGTTGGGTTCTCTGTTATTGTGCCCTTCAGTTAAGTTTTGGCAGCTGGACCTGTCACACATGAACCAAGGTCAAGACCATGCCTATTTCAGAGCGTCTGATGGATCGAGCAGGCATTCTGTGAGAACTGAAGTGGTTTCTAATCTGTACTTTGTGTTAGGTGAACGTGTTTTGATGAGTCTATTGCAATGCCAGTTGGTCCTCAGCCGTGTATGTTCTGAAACATATTCTTCCTGAGGAGTATGATAGCCTGTAATCTGGAGAATGTTTTGAAGAGCTAAATTTGGATGCTGATCAGTTTATTTTTAAAGGAAGTATGTTTCTCACTGTCATGACCTGTCATTCCTCCGCTCTTCCCCCTTTCAGGAATATTTAAGACAACAGCTGTTTTCCAGAAATGGTCCAGAGGAAAGGCCATTAGGCAGTCCACCTCCGTGGATGACCTTGAGGACTGAGGGGGACGAGCCTGTCTTTAACCCTTTCCACGTACACAAGGTGTTCAATGAAAACATGGTGGATCAGGTGGGTGGACATTAAATGGCAAGTTTCATTTAACTACATGGCTTCTTGACACAAATAAGAAAACATTTGTCATTCCTAAACTTTGGATGCTTGGAAGAAAAAGTTCAGTTATTTATGTGACTCAGGCAAATTCACTTGGAAAAGTCGTTTTTAACGCTTTTCCTATTTGTCAAACTGATTCGTAGGTGTGTTCCACAAATCTTAGTTTCTAGTCAGGTCGATTTCCCACAGAGGGGACATCGGTCTGCTGTGTCCACAGAAAGCCCGAAGCACCAGCCAGTATGTTACATTTTGCCCCGCTTCTTGCCATTCCTATCCCTCCATACATTCACCAAATACCTTACAATTTCATGAATGTATCAGAAATTAAAAAAAAAAGTTTCAAATGACCCAGAGTATTGAGTTTCTATAGTAAGTACTATGAGGTAAATTTGCTTTCTCTAACATTTTCCCAATTTAAAAAATTAATTTGCTAACAAATCCTAAAAAGGCAGAGTGTTTGGAATAAAGTCAATGTAATTAAACACTTCACATCTATAAATGTAAGATTGTACCATTGTGTAAGCCATGCGCATGTTTCGGGAAATTACATTCGGAAGATCATCTTTCTGCCGAAAGTATTTGTGATCTATAATTGTTCTTGTTTTTTGCTCATCCGTTAATTCTTTGGGTAGCTTTTTTTTTTCCCCCTGAAACCTTTTGACAGACAAGTTGAAGCAGCAGAGCCATGAGAGAAGGATTGCTTGACCTAGAGTGCTGATGAAAATAAGAATTAAAACAATGGCCTAATTCAGCATGCAGATAATATTTCTACCATGCCTGTTCCAGCTCTAGTCCACATTCATCAATACTGTGGTAGAATAAGACCTTCAGATGCTGACAACCCAGGGCAACATCCTCCTGCCGCATGACAGGAGTGCAGGGCTCGATTAATCAGCAGGTGACAGGGCTCGCTCTTGTTGGATTCTAAACATCAGCCTGGCTTCTTCTTATCAAAACCATTTAGTTTTAAGGAGCAAGCACATCTGTGGTGCTTTAAAGTCATGGATAATGTGCAAGTTTGAGTTTATTGACTGCATTGCTGCATTGTACGTCAGATTTCCGTGAGCTATAAATAATTATTGTAGCTGTTAAGTTATCCTTACTTCATTTAAGTAAAGGGCATATTGTATTATATTCTCAATTTTTTTATGGCAAATTTGTCCCTGCTATGTAGTGAAATTATCCACTAATTTTAAAAAAGTCATTTATGTTATTTACACGTACAGGTCCTTATAATCTTTGTAATAAGCATTTTCCTAATCAAAAAGGTTAATCAATAGTATACTATCATTAAGCCGTGTCTTACATTTCATTTGTAAGAGCTTCCAAGTTTGCTTTTTGAAGTCTAACTTTTTGATGTGAAAAAAAAAACTGAAGTTTAAACTGATGCTTTCTTTTAATTGTCAGTTGTTTTACTTTTCTTTGTAGAGTTGTCTTCGTGAGAAGTCTGGTTGGAAGAACAACCACTAGAGAAATTGACTTGTATTTTTATAAATAATGACTGCATCCCCGAAAGGATTTGTGAATGAATTGCTGTCTTATTGGAATAAAAACCTTCTTCTGTGGACATGATTGATGTTGCCTGTCTAACTCCTTGTTCTGACCCCCTCCTTCTTAGTTAGTCTATCACAGCTGGAGCTTTAATTTACTGATCATATTAACTCTGATTAATAACTAACAATAGCGTCTTCTCATTTATCAACAGTCAGCCATCACAAAATGGAACTGGAATTGGTCAAAGTTGCTGCCAAATTATCTGGGACTGGGTAAGATGACCTTCAGCATCCTGCTCAAAAACAGGTAAGAATTCTGGGGATCTGGTTGAGCAGAAAGATTTTGTCTGTCTCTGTACCTGAGCACACATGCCAGCATGCTTTTGAAAAAAAAAACTGGTTTTATTACTTGGAGAATCCTTTGTTTTCTCCTTTTCCAAGGCTTTTGTCTTAGAAAAAAAAAATATGGCTAGATTTACACACTCTACTTTGTATGTTCTGTCTCTATAGTAAACATTTGCAAAAGGCACCAACACACACACACACACACACAAAGGAAAAGCAGAAGAAAGACAGTAAAATGTGTTTCCAAAATGAATTAAGTTGATTATAGTTTGAATTTTAAGGGTTTTTGACTTTGTATATTTAATCATTTACTTTTGTAAACACCAAAAGTTATTGATTTGAGTTGCGTTATAATACTATACCTTTGTTTAGAGCACTTTAATGAATGCATACAAAATGCCAAGCCACATTAACTAGTCTAATCAGGGGAAACATAGAAGTGAAACTGTCATGATTGAATTTTCTACTTTGCAGCCAGTAGTTTTGGCACTCTTTGGTTATAGCTAGATTGCGTATTGCTTTACACACATGCACACACCTGTTAGCACAGCACAATAAAATGGTGATTTGCTTTCAGCCTAGAAACCTTCTTGAATTTGTAATTTATTTTACACAAAAATATGCAAATTTTCCTTTTATTTTGGACCTTTCAACTTTTTAAAAAATATGCTTTTAAATATCTTTTCAATGAAAACAGTGAAGTGTGGATTTTAGACATTGAGTTTCTCCTTTACATATTACATTTTCAGGTTAACCATGTATGTATGAGATTTATTTATTATTCACATATGATCTGTTCATGCTTAGCTATGAAAATTATTTTACTTCCAGTGTTTGTGATATAAAATGTATTTTGTAAAAAATATGTTGAATATCATTTTTCCTAAAGGAAAATAATGACAGTAGCAGAATAGAACCATAGAATCCTCCTTTAGTAATCTGTTTACCTAAAAGAAAGCATCTTAAGAGTGCAGTATTTCCCAGATGGAGATTTAAAAAAAAACAAAATTAAAACAAAGCAACTTCAATTCCAATATAAGCTCTCATTCAGATGTGTGGTTGTAATGGTACGGTGTACCCGAAATTTCACTTCTGAGCTTACCGCTCCTCCCCCTCTACCCTCCCTGATAAGCAAAGGTAAACCATCTGGAAGCTTCCGCATCCCAGCCAGACCCTTTAGCCTGCAAGCTTATCACCTGGCTGGTAGTTGACCAGGTGTCCAGTGTGGACACAAGTTCTGAGAGGTGTTCCTCTCCTGTTCCAAAGGTCTCTGGAGAGGTGGGAGGAAGGGCTGCTGAAGGAAAGGGCCCAGTCCCCTTGTGATGCACTACTGTGTGGTGTGCACAGGGAACTGAATGTCTGGGAACAATGCAGGAAAGGTAAGTCATGTTCCCGCCTGCTATTTGGAAGGTTGTAGAGTATCCGTACTGGTTTTAGTAATTCTTTTTCAGCCGTTAATCGCTACTTACCGTCCGCTAAATGGTACTCTAGAGACAACACATCCTTCAAAACTTATTGCACTTGCTTCTCATAATATTCACCTCCAAGTAGAATTGTGTTTTAGCCTGAACTGAATATTGTTGTTTCGTTAAACAACTTTAGATAACTTCAATTAAGTCACTAGCTGTGAAAGTCCATTTTCCTGGATGTGAGTGGAGTGAGTGTGATAAACAGACTTGCACAAATTTAGCCAGAAATAACAGGTCAAAAGAGTTCTCTTGGAAAAAGGTCATGAATTTTTAATAGAAACAGCTAGAATCTCATCTTAATAAAAGCCTTAGGTTTTTTAAGGAATGTTATGAGAAGCAGTGCACTGAAAACTGCCATACACCACAAGCTACAATGAACCTAATTGATCTGTCTTAGAAAGATGAAAGACACCTGAGAATTTTAATCTGCTCTTCCACTTTCCCATTTATTTTAAGAATGTTATTTATGAGTTTTGATTAAAACTGAGCTGTTATTTTCTCCAAGACACTCTCTTGTTTGGGCTTATCTGAAAATGCTGACTATTTTTAATCAGAACATTGACTTTTTTTGACAACATGGTTATCTGAAAGATACATATTAAAAACAAGGACATAGGACATGGAATTTCAAGAATGGAAATTGTAGAAGCCACTCAGCATCCACAAGGTGATACTCCCCTTTGCTCTATCCTTGGTTTGGAGGGTTGTGCAAATCCAAAGACAAGAGCTCATTGCAGCTTGGGTGAGACTTTCCACTTCTTTGTGCCACAGGCATTTATTCAACAAATCACTTGCTCTATTATTGTTCCTCTTATTGATAATATATTTCACTGAAGTTGTTTGCATGCTCAGCATGTATGGTGTCAGGAATGTTCTCTGAGGACATAAAGTGATAACAAGTTGTGGAGCTTTAGGTGTTTGGCTTAGGGGTTCCGATGCTCATATCCTGAATGGACTTTACACTCCTGATTTGTACCTGGTACAGCCTTGGCTGTGGGATGTATTTGTGGAGTATTCTAGCAGATGATCACTCTGTGTGTGTGTGTGTGAGTGTGTGTGTGTGTGTGTGTGTGTCTTAAATCAATACGAAGGGAATAACTCCTACTTGCCTCTTAAATTTCTTTGTGCCTCAGCATCAACTTCCAGACACACACTGACTATCCCTTCTCTAAAATGCATAAGATCAGAGGTGTTTTGCCTTTTCTTTTCAGGTTTTGGAATATATAATGGGATCTTGGAGATGGGACCCATGTCTAAATATGAAATTCATTTGTATTTTATGTATTACCGGTATACATAGATTAAAGATAATTTTATGTGTTTTTGCTACGACCCACAACATAAGATCAGGTGTCTACTTGTTGTTTTATCATGTTGGTACTCAAAATATTACTCAGTGATGCATTAACCTTAGAACCTAAATACAAAATACATCATCTCAAAAACTGAGACAGAACGGGAGAAGGAAAGCAAGTGGGAAGAAGAGAGGAGAGGAATATCTGTGTTCTTAGAATTTTATCTACAAATCAGATTGAATTTACTAAAAACTAATTCAAAGCTAAATTAAGAAGGTTATGGTTTTTGTAGAATTTTGTCTTTTGGTTCTTTGGATTACTGATGCTTGGCCCGTGGTAAGCAAACCTCTCGCGGACTTACTCTCTTAAGATACATGGAGTGACCCAACCTTCCTTTACCCACAAAATGAGATGGGGCTAGGAAAGCAGGATTTCTGTGTTTTGATGAGCTTATCCTTGCTTGTAGGTTTCCTGATTTGTGCAGTGAAAAAAAAAGATAATTATATAGCTGTTGCTTCATGGAGATTGTTGAAATAATCAGTAGGGTTAGAGTATACAGAAATGTTCAAGGAAGTTGAAAACAAGATACCCATTTGAATAAGAAACAGCAGTCCCAAGGTTAGTGTTCGGTCAGTAAGGAAGCAGTAGAGCATCCTAACTCTCGGGAGGGAGTTGAAGTTGTGAGACTAAGGACTCAGATCACCAGGGTTATGTAGACCCCAGGACTAAATCAGTGGTAAAGATCAGAACAAATGTCAGGGCAGGAGCCGGGCAGCAAGTCTGTGGATCTGAAAAACAAAACAAAATAGCAACAAAAACGACAACAAAATGAGCTAGAAGGGGAGTTCCAAGTTCAGGTGAGCTACCCAAAAGATTAAGGCTGCAGAGATAAAGTCTGGAAGCACAGTTCAGCTGTGTGAAAGAGATCCATGATGCCACTACTGTGTTATATGGAGGTAGCACGGGCTTGTGTCCCACAGCTGGTTCTTGACTGTCTGAAGGCAGAGCAAATCTTGAAGTGGCTGCCTGAGTCCTTGGCAGAGAGGTGCCTTCTGCTTCATCTCTCTCTGGCTTCTATTCCAAGAACCTCCTTCCATCCGCTGACTTCATGACAGTGTTTGAATGCCCAGAGGCTTTTCACTTTTCGAAGGTCTTGGGATTTGAGTTCCCTCTGCTCTTCATCTGGCCAGTGCCCTCCTGTCCACTTGGGAGAAATGTCACTTCCTGAGAGGCTTTCCCTTATCACCTGTGCAAAGTGGCCCTCCAGGCAACCGTAGCATTCCATCCACTGTGCTTTCTTAACCCAAGTATCCCAAACTAAGATCCTGCTTCACGTTTGTTTATTGTCAGGTCAGCTCATTGGGAATCGCACCATGCCTACCTTATCCCAGCTCATCAGTACCTAGCTAAGTATTTGTTGAAATTGTTGCAGGGAATTCGATGCAGAAGCAGCCCATTTCTTGCCTCACAGGAAAGAAGAGTTTTCATGCAGACAACTGTAGTGTACAAGGCAAGATTTATTTAAGAAAGAGAAAGCAAACTCCTGCCATAGTGACAGGAGGTGGCTCCAAGGGAGGAAAAGACCCAAAGAAATGGTGGACACGGTGTCTTTTATGCACCATCTCAGGAAGGGGGACAAAGAGTAGAGAGAACGAAAATGGGGAACTCATTCTCCTTGGGCAGTAATGTCTGGCACTTTGCTCAGGACAGACTGGACTCCTAAACGTGCGTGTGGAACTTAGGCGCCATCTCCCTGACTTTGACTCAGAGATGGTGGTCACTTTAGATTATGTCTCCCTAGCCAACCACTCTAAGAGATAGCAATTGATATGCTGATTCTGTCTCTTGCTCTTCCTCCAGGGCCAGGGGGTGAACCTAGGGAGAGTGTGTTCCTGGAACAGTAAGGAATGGGGAGAAGCAAGGTTTTATATTTTACAAAGGTAATTTCACCAGGGACCCTAACTGCCTCTTAGCCTGTTGGACTCCTCACAAGATGATGGAAAAGACATTGAGGAATCAGAATGCAGATAAAAAGTCAGCTTCTGGTAGATGAGTGGACATTAGGCATTCTGCATATGTGACCTTCAGCTAGTAATTGTTGCGAAGGAGACTCAGAAACAAGGCAGCGAACTCATAGCCAAATGGAATTTGTTAGAGAATTCAAACAGGGTTAGCTGTCTATCCCAGGCATGGATGGAGTAACCCAGTGGTAGAGGTCCCCTCCTTCAGCAGC